TAAGTGAATTTTATTGCTATTAGTTGTTTGTTGAACTTACAACAACAAAACTACATCATGTCTCAATAATATTTTTATATAATGTATGGTGAATTAATGAATAGGATTTATTAATCAGCAGCAAAAGTCATAAAAACGATAATTATAATTAAAACTCCATTTATTATCTATATACTTACCCAATATGTAACAAATATACTTGGTATTCGTACAAAATAACATTACTTCTGACTAAAATTACATTTGTGCAAAGTGTAAGTGCAAATAATTTGTGCTTTCGAAATTAAAATTTAAAAAACTATGATCAATTAATAAATCTTATATTCTAATTATGAATATACAAGAAACGTCTGTTCTAAACGAACAGCAAGGTTATAACTTTTAATTTCAAAATCACAAAGACACGTACAGTTATTATACTACTGCTACTGATTTTGCATGCTGACGGCGGACGTCGAGTCATGTGTTAAGTTAATTCGTACGATGGGTATGTGCTTTTTGGTTCTTACAATAATATCGTTAATAATAGATTGACTTCCTACAACACCTACTCTAGAAATTTTATTGAAATATATTATTTACTAAGAACCTGTAGTGTATGCTCTCTTAAAATCTCTGCGATGGTGTCGTGTGCATTAGGTCGTTACGTTCCATCAAATATAGTATAGTTGAAATTAAAAAGCAGCCCCTACTGAGTTTCTTGCCGATTCTTGTCAGTACAAGATCTCCCGTCTTAGTTTTGCGAACCATTGGCAAAGTTTTCGACTTTCACAAGTACTATGTAACAGCCTAGACTGAATTGATTTTGATATTTATATAAATATCATTCGTGTTGTGGATGCATAATAACACATACATATACGAGCTGAATTCTGCGCTCCGCTTTTTGTTCTTAATTCCAAACCTGAATTCAGATGAAAGTTACGTTAATAAGTTGACTCATCACTAATGTTGACGTATCAACCAAACATCGTTCCTTTACACGTAACATAATAAACAACTTAAACTTACGATTAAAATAAATTAAAACTAATTTGAAAGTTAGATATTATATGAAACACAAAACGATGTCATATTCATTATTTATCGATACTCAATTCACTTTAATTACGTCAGCAACAAAATTTGAATGAATATCATAAACAAAATCCAAACATCGCGAGTGACATCTATAGTATGATTTCAAGAACTAATTTTTATTTTTTAAATACTTCCTCATTAAGTTTCCACCATAAATTAATTCACAAGAGCATGAAACGTGTTAATAGCTAAAAATAATTAAAACAATTTAAAAAAATATAACAAACATTGGAAAATAACAGATTCATAAATTCATTATTGAGTATTTATCTCAACTTTTTCCTATGAACATAAGTACTTTTATTAAAAATGTCAATTGAATTAATTTAAGTTCTATAAAATATATGTTGTTGTTACACCTCGTAAAACCAATATCACAAGCTTTAAGTTTTCGTTTCCGTAAATGTGATGTAAAATCATCCTTTTTATAGCGAGCTAGGAATTTTATTATAATTGGCTTGATCCGCTCGTTATTATCACCTTTAATTTTCGGAGCAACTCTAGTAATGAAGTCAATGTCAGTAGAAGTATTGAGTTGAAATCCGGTTCGATCAACGATATTCTGAATCGTTAGCACTAAATTTTCATTCTTTCTTTCAGGAATTCCATAGATTTCAACATTAGACCGTCTTGCCCATTGCTCCCTATTGTTATTTTTTTCCCTATTGTTATGCCATACGCTGCTTGATTTCAGCAAGGGTAGAAGATGTTAATGACATCGCCTTTGAGTTTTTTTCCAATAATTCTATCCTCTTCTTTATGTCCGCAAAATCAGAGTTAATGAAGGACAAAGATTCTCTCTCATCCGCAATTTCACTCTTGACAGCGCTTTATTCAGATGCCACAACTTGCCTCACTGTTTCAATATCCCGTCTAAACTTAGCCATTCCGGGGTGAATAAATCTTTAATCAATGCAGCGCAATCACAATTATCTTTGGTGTCCGGAATAAATTCAGAGCGCACTAATCCTCCCCCACGTCTATTAAATTAACAGAGCTTATCGTTGCCTCTTGTGTGCTGTTTCCTCTTATCGGTGTTCTATCTTTGTTTATAACTCTCGTTTTTTTAATGAACACTCCGGAGTCCGGACAGATCCACGCATTTTTAAATACGCCGGATATGTTCTTATTCTCTTTAGCAGAATACAGGCAAGATATGTAAAAATTTAGTTACATCTAACACATGTCAGGTAAGTTCATCGTTGTTCAGCAAACTTCATCTTTGCACCATAAGTTGTATATTTTATGTGCTGAAGTTTGTAATTGTGTCTCGGTTCTAAACAAAATATTCAGACTAACAGGCTAACAAAAAAGGACGAAAAAAATAAAAACATTTTACTCGGATTTGAACCGTGTACTTCGTGAGATGTGGTGCTAGACGTCAAAAAGTAACGTCGCTATCCGCTGCGCCAATCGGTCATATTGAGCGAACGATATTTTATCTCATGTATGTTTCGAACAAAGTGGCACAAACAACTGAATCGTGTTACCGCCACGGCGGTCGACGGCAGACTGAATCAGCTTGACGTTCATGTACCTCTATTAAAAAAATCAATCAATAGGGTGTTTGACACTTTTTAAAAACTATTAGAAATGGTTCTTTGATACATTATAAACACTGTCAATATGTTTCATTAGAATCTGTTATAACTAACCATTATTTTCATAAAAAATATAACAGATTACAAAGATAGAAAATATAACAGAAATCGCGTAAAAAAACGCTGCTCCATGCTGCTCTATGTAATGGCGCTAGTGTTGCCAGATGGCAGTGATTTCCGGGATGGTCCAGCAATTTTGCGTGTTGTCCCGTGTCCAGTAATAATAGTACTTTGGTGTCCCGGAAAGAAAGAAAGCAAGGGGAAGCGACTTTAAGTTGAATTACATTTTTTGTATTGAACAGTATAAGAAAGTAATTAAAAAGATTAAAAAAAAATTTTTTTTTCATCAACTAATCGTTCTAGTTAATTCCTACTTAACTTAGTCTCGGACCGTAGATCAAAACTGGTTCCGTTCGTGGCCCCAGAAATGTACAGGAAATGATCAACCTCGATTAATCCTAAATGGCGCTGATATGAATGGCGCACGTGATATTTGTGACGTCACAATTCTGTAAATATGTCAAGGCGACATAACCTATTTATCAACTATTAAATTACGAAGTAAACAAATACATATTTTAAGGACCGCGATGCATGTAATTAATAGTTCTTAATTAATACTCTGTTCTTTAACGACTAATCATATGTTATATGTAGAAATTGTATTAATTATTATGATAATACATATTATTTTGGTAATGACATGATTTATGTAAATGTCATTTACATAAATCATAAATAATTTACATAAATATAAACTTACCAGCTCTTTATCATAACTTATGAAAAAGAGTTGGAAATTTTTCATTTGCTTGTTCGTCTTGTCAGCTAAAAGACGCCCTGAACCAGTGGTAGGGAGAAAAAAGATTTTGGACGATTCAAAAGTGCTTGTAACAAGCTTACTTGAATAATGATATTTTCGTTTCATTTCATACATAACATAAATAAAATACATAGGTATTAAGAGTTTTGTATGACATATTCAGACAGATGCACAAATGTTCATTAATATTGTCATTAGTTTAAGGCGACATTACCCTTACAAATTTGACATTTATTATATCTTAAAGGCGTCATTAAATCTTAATGGACGTTTTTGCAACTGAACTATTATTCATTTATGTAATAAAGAAAAATCAGCGGCATAGATTACTAAATTAGAGTAGCGAAGTGACATCTAGTAGCAAGAGAATCAACTCGATGCACCCAGTTGACTCGATAACTCGACTGCATAGAGGTTGGAGTGATATTTTTTTTCATTCGACTACGAATTTGAAAAAGTGACTCAAGTTAAAACCTGTTTTAATTCGAGTCACTTTTTCAAACTCGTGTATATCGAGTCCTGACTCGATATACACTTTACACCGATATACACACTATGAAATTAAATAAAATCTGAACGGGTAGTAGGAAGATATATTATCCATTTCTTCCTACCACTCGTTCAAAAACTCACTAACTCTTAACAGATGTAATAACATTTACTTATGCTGTCTGTCTAACATCATCACCAGCCCTTTATCCCCACTGCAGTGGCTCAGGTGTTCATTATGGATTAAGAAAGAAGCATTCGTTTGTCTAACGTTTGTAAAAAGTTAATTAGATACCTTTATTAACGAAGAATTGATATTATGGATTTCGTTGTTAAAAATATTTTTACGTGCTATATTTCTCCAACAGTATGTAGTATGCGGGCCCAAAGTATAGCACAATCCTAACTCACAGTTCCCTAGGAATCACGCAAGCGAAAGCTAGTAATATATCGCACACCTAGATCTAAACTAAGACAACTCAAAAAACTAATTTGGTGATCTGACAATACATTTGTTTACGTGGCAGGAGCGCGACCACTGTTGATTCAACAAAAAAAAGAGCTAAAGTTATCTAGCGGCTCATCCCCGAACCTTTATTGAATCTGTTATGTTGGATTGTGTTGGATAGATGCGTATGATCACCAAGTATTTGAATATTGCACTAAGTCAAAACTCGCTCAAATTTTTGAGCTGTCTCAGTTTAGATCTAGGTGTGCGATATATTATAGTACGGTTGGCAACTTTAACACTAGCACACATTGGCTCAATATTAAGTGGGTATTGAATGAACTAATTGTCAGTAAGTAAATATTAAGCCTTTGTTTTAAATGTACGAGCTAATTTTGATGAATATTGAGATCGTCATGGGATTGGACTGAAATTGAGATTGCGTTCAAGAATAAACCTGCGGGCCTGGCTTATGGACTCTGTTTATGAGCTAATTGAATGAGATGCATTGTAGCGCGTAACCTTGACGACGAGTCGGTCCGAAATAAAACGAACATGTAAATGTGTAAAATTTTATTTTAGGAATCTTATAACTATTCAGATTTGGATGTCGTCATGTATGTCTTCCCCTCAGCGTGTATCCCGTCTAAAACATTATTCATGGTTACCTTGAGTGCTCTGTATTCTTCAAGGGCTTTAGCACATAACTCACCTTCTGGAGAATTTCCTGGCTCGATAAATAACATCTCCAAGGCCCGTTTTAGGTATTTTTCAGCATTTAGAAGTTTATCCTGGAACGAGGAATGTTCAATTATATTAGGTCCTTACATATGAAATTGGCTTTTTGTCGTACTGCCCACATTAATCACAAATTTCTCCTCCTTGGTTGGAAATTCCACATTCAAATTTATACAGCCATTTACACATGTATTTGTGGTGGCGGCATTAAATTGTTGTTTTTCTTCTGTTTGTCCTACTTACCAGTATAAAAAAGTTCCATTTTCATTCTGGAAATTTCGACGTGCAGAGCAAGCCCCGTGGACGGCCGGAGACCCAAGTTATTAATGAAGAATTGAAGGCTATTGCGGAAGTGAATCCATCGCAAACCACGTCCGAGTTAGTTGCAGGCTGCAGTGTTAGTGTTAAAACTGTTTTAATCCACTTGAAGCAAATTAGAAAGATTAAAAAGCTTGAAAGTTGGGTATCTCACGAATTGAGCGAAGCTAACCGGCAAACGCGATTCGAATGCTGCGTTACATTACTTTACCGGCACAATAATTAAGGGTTTTTAAATCGAATCATTACCTGTGATAAAAAGTGGATTCTCTACGATAATCGGAAGCGCTCATCGCAATAGTTGGGCTCTGGCATGCCAAATCCTGTCCCAAGCGAAACTTGACCCCAAAAAATTACTTGTAAGCGTTTGGTGGACTAATACCGCTGTCGTTCAATTTTCTCAAATCTGGCCAGACGATTACGGCAGACGTCTATTGTCAACAATTGCAAACCATGCTGGAAAAACTAGCTGTTAAACAATTGAGGCTGGTTAATCGCTCTACGCCATTGCTATTTCTCGACAACGCTAGACCACACACTGCATAACAGACGGCTACCAAATTAGAAGAGCTTCAATTGGAATGTCTAATATATTCACCGTACTCCCGTACACCGTACGATTTTCGATTAAATTTTAATATTCAAAATAAAAGCAAACAATTTATGTATTGGTTAATGTCTAAGCTTAAATAAAAATTATGTCCCATACTTATTGAACATTAGTTTGCAAACAGTAAATCTAACATGCTGAGTAATCAGATAATTAATAATTGTAATTGTAAATGTATGCAGTACCATATAACCAGTTCCAGTGATCTCTCGACTATCGAATAACTTCTTAGCCAACTGCACCATAGTTGCATGTATTTCATACAGAGTGATAGCTGAAACATTAAATAACTTATTTAGATCACCAACATGTTCGTAGTTGTAGCACTGATGAGCGTTGCTCATCAGTGACCTTACCTAAATAGGTAGTGGGGAAGAGCAATCTGTCTACATCCAAATATACAAACCCGGAAATAAGATTTTTTCCAACCGGGACAAAAACTTGATATTGCAACATTCTTACATTATTTTTGATCAATGTTTTTATTTCATTTTAATTAAAGAAGAATGGCGAAATCAGACCCCATAATTTATAAAACCGTTCATGGATGGCAATATGACAAATAAATAATATATGATTAATAGATTTTATTTCTACAAATTGATGAATTTTAATGTCGGGGAACCAAACTAAAATATTAAATGCTGCTAATAATTATCAAGATAACAAAACGTCTGATGATAGTGCAAAAACAAAACGCGAAAATCTTCTTAAGAAACGTTCTGGTCTACGCAGAAGTACTTTAATAATAAAACTATATCTAATAATAAAAGGGTCATCTATTTTAATGGATATTATCGTTTCCTGTACATAACAATTAATTCTATTGCCTTTAAAGTACCATTAATACGCTTAATAATCGAATTTAAATTCAAAATAAGATTATATAGAATAGATTCCGTTCTCTTTAATTGAAAACCACACAATATGTCAAAGGGTTGTAGTTTGGATGGTTTTTGAAAAATCGATCACATACATCAACGATGTCAGAAGCGATTCTCAATTAATCGCGAGTTTTTTAAACATGTTCTATAGAATATTATCTGTCGTCATTAACTGCTAATAATAAGTGAGATATGTGATTTAATGATGCGTACCGACTGAGCGAATGAACGTCAAATATATATTCAATATAAAATCTATATATAATATATTATATGAAATACGATCTTTGAATACTTTCATAAATATTTATTTTATTCGTTCAAATTACGAATTGAATACTTGAGAAATAAAAAAATTGAAAGGTAAGATACCACAACCGATTTAAGAAGATTATTGCCAGTTCTGCAGTTGATTCGATAAAAGGTTAACGTATCGATTATTTTGGTATAAATAATCGATTGGTTGATTTTTTTTTGACATGCTTGTTTTCATCTATGAATGTTCTATGATGATGATGGTGGAATGATAGCGGATGATTAGTTTGGTTTGTTTGTTGTGTGTTCGTTCGTGGAGTTTGATATTTATGTTAATATTCAACTTGACAATTAAGCATGTTTCTTTGACTAACGTTGATATTTGCATTACTTTTGGATTCCGAATGGCAATCGATTCGGTATATCAATGACAGTTCAATGTGTACATTGCCCTTATTTGTCACTTTCAGTTGTAATGATTTAATTAAAGGCAAAGGGATCTACTCCACACAGTCTAATCATATGTTATAAATGTTTCTTCTTTTATAAGTGTCTGGATCTTGTTAGATATGTAACTATCTTAATCTAGTTTATTAAACGGAGTAATCTGGTTATCATTTTTATTTATTTTAAAGGCCATTCAACGAAAAAGCAAAGATGCAATATATAACCCCACAAAGTATTTTATGCCATATCTTTTTAACCCCAACTTTTAAAGGAAAAAGACGATTAGGATTTTGTTACTTTAGTTTATACCTTCAAGTACACGTTTATTTCATTCATGAACGGGACTTTAAAAATTCAGGTCCAAAGCTATATGGGAGTTCGCCATTGTTCTTTGAGGAGACACAAACAAACACCTCGTTAGATAGTGTAAAGACCGCTTAAAGATATAAAGTATTATGGTGAATTAGTGTCTGCCACAATCTGGGACAGCTATTGAGTTACAATTTAAATGATACACCTGCAACTTTTAATGCACTCATCACAAATTTGTTAAAGACCGACGCTCCAATACAGGCATCATATATAACATTGCGAAATCATCTATGGATAACTAAAACTATCAGAGAAACTATGAGATTGAGAGATAAGGCATATGCTAGGTATCGTCGAACAAAAATGGAGATTCACAAACATTACTGTAAGGATTTAAAAAGTATAGTTAATGCTGCCATCTACAATGAAAAGGCTGCTTCTTTTCGTCATTTTATTAATAAACATGTTCAGAACTCACGTACACTTTGGAAAAATATTAAACGGCAGATTGATTTCAATGAGAAGCTTGCCGAGCCGCCGGAGAGTATTTCCAACCCCGATCATATTAATAGACACTTCTTAGGGTTACCGGCTCTTATGCATGAAGATGATTCGCATATACAGAGATACCTATTATAGTAATCGTTTTAACAGTAGCGTTTTTGGTCTTCAGCCAGTAAGCAAAGTAACAGTGTCTAAGATCATTGGAAAAATGACACCCCAGTGCACAGGGCGTAGATAGCATATCACTGGATATGTTCCTTTTAACTCTTCCACGGACTCTGGGTGTTATCACTGCAATTATTAATATGTCCATCACAAAATGTATATTCCCAGATCAATGGAAGGAATCAGTTATTAGACAGCTACCCAAAGTCAAACACTCAACTGCACTCAAGGACCTTCGGCCAATCACCATCTTACCATTCATTTCAAACATTTTGGAAAAGGTAGTATGCGTACAATTGACCGGATACTTATGTGCAAATGGTATGTTACCAAAGAAGCAGTCAGGTTTTACAGCGGGTATGAGTACAGCGACTGCAATTTTGGATATCATTGATGACATATTGGCGGGTAGAGATATGGGTAAAGGATTTTGCTTTATTTTTTGGTTTTGCTTGATATCTCTCGTGTATTCGATAGTGTTAATATTATAATACTTTTACGATAGTATAATACTTTCCAATAATTCATAGTCTATAATTGAATACGTTTCAGACCACACGTATAGTTATTTATTGCATATTTAATGCCTACTTTTACCTAAACGAGTTAGACTTCAATCAACAGTTCAACTTAAAATGTTGATGTCTAACATTTTTATTTCTCCTTGTCGTCAGTGTATATATTTGCCCGTGTATAAATAACGAAGCTTTTCAAGCTATAAAATAAACCAAACACTGATATAATATTAATAATTGTTATTATTGTTAGTGCGAGGGTTTCGATCGAAATAGGAGTATTTTAGTTTTTGAACTACGGGGTTTGCTCCAGAGTTTCAGTCTTATATAGATTTTCAAATAAATATAAGGTAGATCGTAGGCACTAACATCAAATTGTCAGTTCTGTTACTTACATAATCTTTGTCAGATCATTTTCACAGTTTGTAACCTTATTTACTCTTTCTTTTTATTTATTGTTCTGATTAAAACACAAATCAATTAAAAATGTATACTTACGAATGAAATAGGACCCTTAATGGCCTTTAGACTTACTTATGTTGTTTCTACAGTTTCGCATAACATAGGGTTGCATTTTTAAAATGATTATGGTACATAAACACTCACAGCCAACGCTTTCGTCAGACTGCACTCGGATATATTAATTAGCATAGATATAAGGTGACACTTTTTGAATTCAAGAAACCTATCTACCCTTTTTATTGTAATATCATTGATAGTCTAAATATATATAACTCAAAGGTGACCGACTGACATAGTGATATATCAACGCACAGCCCAAGCAACTGGACGGATCGGGTTGAAATTTGTCATGCAGGTAGATATGACGCAGGTAGCAGTTATGAAGAAGGCATCCTCTAAGATAGGATTTTGATCAATTCTACCCTCAAGGGGATAAAACAAGGGATGAAAGTTTGTATGAAACTTTGTCAATTTTAAACCGATCGGGCTGAGACTTTGCTTGCATAAAGCTACTATGACGTAGGTATCCCCTAAGAAAAGATTTTGATAAATACTACCCCTAAGGGGATAAACTTTATTTCAGGTATTTACGCGATAAAATGAATATATATTCGTTAGAAATGCTGCTCAAAATAACTTTACCACGCGGACGAAGTCGCGGGCAAAAAACTAGTAACATATGAATTTGGACTATCAACCGCTTCGTATAGGACATGGGCTTGCGAAATTATTTAATTTTACTATTTTTAGTTAATTATGTTACTTTAATTCCTACAATTTGACTCTGATTTTAATATAATCCCTTTTGAATCTTATTTGACTTTATACCATGTCCTCCAGCAGACCACAATTTATAGTCCAAAGAGTTTTAGTCCGGGCTAGCCGAAGGCCAATAATCAGCCTATATGAAGTCTGAAACATTTTGCTCAAGCCAAATTTGGATAGTGCGCGCCTTATGACCCGGGGCTGAATCCCGTTGGAATGTCCACACTTCGTTTTTGAATAAGGTGTTGTTGAGCGGTTTAACTGCCTCTTCTAACACGGTATCTTGATACACTTTGGTTAAAGTTTTCACTCCTTTTTCGCAAAAATTTAGTTTTGTAACCCCTTGGTAGGAGACACCCCACCAAACCATGACGTATGCTGGATGATAGCCTCGCTGAACTTTGGCTGAGCTGTGTGCATATAATCGATCATTTTGTTTGTTGTACTGCTCCACAATTGTAAATTTTTTTTCAGTGGTGAGGATAATTTTTGTGTGTTTTTCGTCCGCGTATCGAAGTAAAAGCTGTTTTGATCTTTCGACTCACTTTTGTTTTAGTGCCTGATTTAAGGTATGTCCTGTGTATCTCCGTTAAGCCCCCAAGACCTAAGTCTTATTTGGTAATCCGAGAAAGTGTCCTCGGTGGAATTCTCATTTCTCTGGATGGGATTTTCTGCTTCCTTATGGGATTTCGACAAATTCTGGCCTTGACTGCATTATCGGCCTGGTTTGTTCGAATAGACCGCGGTCAATCGAATCTCTGACGGTCATCAACAGACATGGTTTCAGTGTACCTTTGGGTGGTACGATACACAAACATTCGGCTAATCCCTAGCTTTTTCAATGTAACAAAAATGTCGGCTGGCTCCTTACCTACTTTGTACAATGCAATAACTGCAATCCTATTCTCTTTTGTGCCCCACTCCATTTTCAAAACAAATAATTTCTAAACAAAAACGGTGGGATCTCTCCCGCCGTTTTTGTTAGTCTATTTTTTTATCGTAGAAACTACTGTTCGAAATTCAAATTAATGTTTTTTTTTAATGAATGTAAACAGCCAGTAACAGAATTTATGGCTAGACTAGGTAATTTTATTTTAATTAAATCCTCCCCTATCTAAACTTTTCAATTAAAACAATTTAATTAAAAAGTTTCTATGTTATCTGCACATAAAATTGACAACAAAAAAGCAAGGCAATTGCCTATAAATGTATATTTTACCTTTCGTCCTAGATATCCCAGGGCAGAGTTTCTCCAGTATCGGTAACAGCTCTTGGCATAATTGTAACTTCCGTCGCATCAGTTTCTTAGTTGGATGTGGCTCCCTATTGATTGTGTCTCGCAACACGCCGGCCAGATGTTGTGTGGCCTCCAATAGCAAGTAATGGTTTGGTGCTAAAATCTTCGACACGTTTCTTATATACTCTTCCAATTCTTTCTCGTTTTTTTTATCTAAAATATACATTTATATATAAACCATATTTAAAATAATGTAGATGGAAAAATTCAATATTATTAAATACAATATATTGCTATATTATTTTATAATTGTTATTATGCTTTTCGTTTGAAATCGGAAGATAAAAAACACAGTAATATTCAACAAACAATAAAATATAAAAAAAAATCTACTTTGTTATACTGAGCTGAACTACAATGTTATAAATGTGTATTTTATATGAAATTTAAATGTATTAAAAAACTCACTGATAACATCAAACTTATCTGAGCAGCATTGGACTTTATGCTCAATGTTTGAATGGTCAAATTGCTTCTTGCAGTCATGACATGTCCACTGTTGGTCCGAACTTTTGGACACATATCCAGTCTTACATTCTGTGCAAATTACTGAACTGATGTTTGTTCCTAATTCTGTACAATCCTTACACCGGTCACAATTACATTTGAAGTATTTTCCAACAAGCAAATGATGTTGTCGGAGAGATGTGCCCTGAAAGAGATTACAATTTCGAAATTTAGGTTACATCTAATATCAGCCTACACAAGAGAAAAAAGACAGCATGAAGAGCTATTAAGGTTAAGTGCTTCGATCTACTAGGATTTATTTTATTCCCTTACCTTTAAAGGATCTGTGTAGTTATAGTAAATGACCTCTCCTTTCTTTATGTCCATACTAGCATGGCACACTAATACGTTATTATCGTTTATAGATACATGTGTATTCCCAACACAATCGTGGGTTAGTAGCGAAGCCTTCAAGTAAACCCCTCGTAGAGGTTGTGAATAGCCAAGGGCGGGTATTGGAGGACCGCGGACTTCAAAACTATTTACATCTATAGCACCGCATACCTTTTGTACTATATACTCGTCCTGAGTATTGTCGAGCACTCCTAATGAAGTGATGAACTGAAATAACATTGAAATATTTTTTGATCACACTAGAAGATCATTGGTCATTAGGTCTTTGCCTATGAAATTGCCGTTTTTCATAAAATAAATGAAGCGTATTTTTTTCTATTAATCAAAGTAATCACCCATGCAGTCAATGCATCTTTGTCATCGCATTGGTAGCCTATTGATGCCCTTCTTGGAGAAATCAGCTGGACGAGAGACAACAAATTCGTCAAAGTCATTTTGCCTCTCTGGTATTGAAGTAGAAGTCTGTAGACGCAAGGTTTGATGAGTACGGCGGATGTCGGAGAACTTCCAACCTCAGCTCTTGCAGCTTGGAGACCGCCTGCTGTACAGTATGAGGTCACGCGTTGTCGTGCAAGAGCAGTGGAGCCGAACGATTGATCAAAGCTGGTTGGAGACGTGCGAGCTTTTCCATCATTGTGTTCAGTTCTTCATATTACATATCTGTAGTAATGCTCGTCCTGTTTGGTAAGAAGCTGTGATGAATTACACCCGCGTTAGACCACCAAACAGTGATCATCACTTTTCTAGGGGTAAGTTTTCGTTTAAGGCGCTGAACCAGGGTCCAACCAACTTGCTGAGCTCTTACGATTATCGAACAGGATCCATTTCTCATCACAACTAACAGTTCGGTTCAGAATTACTTCATTTGTATGCCTGTTGAGCAGTGCAAGGCACGTCTCAACGCGTAGTTCGAGCTGGCGGTCATTGAGTTCGTAGGGTACCAATTTGTCAAGCTTTTTTATCTTGCCAATTTGACGCAAATGGGTCAATATTGTTTTGATGACAACGTCGCAAGCTGCTGCTAATTCAGCCGTAGATTGAGTATACGGTCTATACACCTATAACTGATTATGATGATGATCTTAATATGGTAATCTTGATAGAAACACTGATTTAACTAATAACTATTTATTAGTAAGAACCAAGGTAATGATACTAGCTAGGAGTACGTATTGCAACGAATTGATGTGAAAGTAGGTTAAAATATTAATTGTTATTGTGAATAACAAATAAAATGCTGACTCGACAAATGTACGATGCATGTATCATACATTGAGTTTCATCAGCTTCCACAATCGCCTTTAATTCGTCATTTTCGACCAAAGGTCTAAAATTCCCAGAACGAAAGCTGGCAAACCAATAACGGGTTGGTGCGTTCGTTTGTAGTGTTCGCTTCGTAAACGTCGTTGATGTTGCGTGCCGCTTGTGCCGTTTTGCTGCCACGATGGTACTCATACTCCATAGTTACTCGAATTTTTACTTATCCATGACGACGAAAAATGTTCAAATGCGTTCAAAACAAAACACTAACAATTAAATATATGGACGATTTTAGAAAAAAGAATTCTATGTTTTTAAAATAAAGTTAATTCGAAATTAGAATTATCAGTTAAAAAAAATATTTTGAATTGAAATGGGCAGTATAGCAGAACGGCAATTTCATTGGTAAAGACCTATTATTAACGTGAACATTGGTTTGAATATACGCGTAACCACAAATTACGAGCCCTGCATTATGTGATTGGTGTTAACAAACGTGTTTCAAAATTGCTTTGATAGCTGCTATCATAGACTATTACATTATGCTATCGAATCTCAATCAATTTTCAAAATGGTTCTCAAGGCGGAAAAATTGAAATTCAAATTGATTAAAATTTAAGCAGGGGTATACCTACTATATGTATTATATTTTATGGCAGTGTTATAGCAGTACCTTGACAGTGTTCTCGTAGTATTCCCAAATATTAGATTTTTTCCTCTCTTCGAGATGTGTTTCCAACTTCATAAATTCCTCCCATGCTTTAGGATCGGTTTCCTTTTTCAAAATTGCGCGGAGTGCCAACAATGAGCCAACGTTTTGTACCATCGTCATAGGACCAACACCCTTTGTCAATTTTAAATCTCTAAAGAGCTCACATTCTGTACTGTTGTGACATTCTGAAAGAATAATACACATACTCAAATACAAAAGGTAAAATCATCATAAAATGCTATCCTATATTTTAATTTAATATATATATATATATATATTTTTTTTTTTATATAAAATTTTACTCACTTTTGCTCAAAGATTCAGGGCATCCTTCACCAGGACACACAGGTGCAACAGCACAGTTTTTGCACACCAAAAACTTGCTGATCAGCGGCAGGTAGCAATTGTAACAAACCAGTGAACTATCAGAAGTGGGCCCCAGCACATAAGGCTCGTCAGAAATGATAGTCTCACCTGGTTTCAAGTCCTTGGCTGCTGCTAAATGTCTGTTATGAAGCAGTTACAAAATCCATATTAGAAACTATTATGACGATGTTAATAAGCCGAATCAATATATATCTATGTACTCACTCTTATTTTAACAAGTAGGAGCGTTCCTTGTTAGAATGGTTGTATTTCAGCCTAACTGAATCTTACACCACGGAAATGCTTAATACTAATATTAAACAATATTTACTGTTTACCCAATATCAAAAACAAATTAATTACTTACTAAAAAAATATTGGCACCTTCCATAAAATGTTTTAAGAATATATATTCTTAATGAATTAATGAATTATAGATCTAATAAAAGTAAACACTAACTCGTCTCTGTTGCTATAATAAATAGATATTTAACATAGAACGAAAACAATAATGCAAACTATATAACACTGATATAAAACACACCTGCCAAGCGTGTCCGATCTTTGTATTTCGTATCTCGCATGCATGATTATCACTGTTCTTCACTGATGTGGAACAATGCAAGACGCCAGTCGGCGACCAACTGCAGGATACACGTGCGCGAAACAGAACACTTCATATACGCATTACCGCTTTATTTATAGAATCCGTCTATACGTTATTTTTAACGTGAACTCTCGTAAATGCCGTCTCGTTTGCAATCAAAAAGTAAGTTAATCTAACAATATAGTAAAGCTATGTAAAACTTAGAACTTTTTATTATAACCATCGAGTAGTTATTGATTTTTTAAATGAGACATTTCCTGACTGTTTACTTTTAAAATACGATATATTACAAATACTCAAATTATTATAATAAATCTGTAGAGATGTTAAATTTTGTCTAATGATACAAAACCAAAGCTCTAACAATAATTGAAATATATTATTGTAATCATGATCAGATAAACAAAGATAATTGAAAGTAGTAGGGATGAAGAAAAAACCATTTGATACAAATATTGTATTTATTTACAAGTACTTACAATTTACCTTAACTCGAAAGGTATGCTTATGACTAGGTAAATATAAATTTACATTATTATGTACATTAAATCATATATTAAAAATAAACTTTTAAAAGACGACAACTTTCATATCTGATTTTATAAAATTTTACATTATTTACACATTGAAATCCAATTTAAAAATGGATAAAATATATTAACTTATTTCATTACGATGTAATGTGTCAAGGATACAGCCATAGATAATATCATTTATAATAAAACAAGGTTAAACTGTATTTCAAGTAAACGCGAACGTTATTGTACCGACTTATGTGAGATGGTTTATAGAAAAATTTAAAATATTGTAATATTCGGTCGAATCATTAATTTCATACAAATAACTCATATAGACATTAGACGCCATTTGCTTGAATATCACGCGTGTTCCTGAAAATAATAAATTACTTTTAATTTTAAAAATTGCTATAGTGTAGCGTCTCGACCGAATTCGACGACACATTTTCGAAATGATAATTAATTAACAATAAAAATATTTTTGTTTTAGTCCCACTTATTATGTCAACTGATTATACAGATAAAATAAACAATAAGCGCATCTTGTTTTCATTTGCACTGATCTGACCAGATAGATACCAATACCAATAATGACGGAATGTATAATAAAATTTATAATCAAGTAACATTTTAATAAGACTGGATCACAGCAATGTCCCGCTGTACGTTTCTTAGACTTTTTCTAATAATTAGTTAGTGTCACATATGTTGCATATACAAGTGTCCACACGTTTAAACTTTTTAAGATTTTATACAATACTTAAGATATACTAAAGTCCAGAAAACGTTTAGAACAATGCCGTGTGAGCCGGGGATAAGGAATAAAATACACCATCCTAAGCTTCTGTCTCAGCTCACTCAGCGGATATCAGGCGTACTAATTGAATCAGCCTAACGTTAGAATTTTTTAATGCTTCGAATTATCGCTGTCTGCATAAGTATACCGGTGAGCCATATTGCTTCCCTACGTAATAGTTATCATCTAATGTAAAAATAATGACCGTGTAACGACAGCGTAAAGTAAATATTAAGACATGGTGGTTTTGCAAACATATATCAGCTGCGCCACCCCCTATGGTTTATTTGACACCCTTACTGGTCAAATAGCAGAGAATGTCATGAAGTCCGCCCTCTGCTGTATTGCAAAAAAGCTTGCGTAAATAAATAAATAATGTGCTCTGGAACCTCTAGGCGCAAATTCGATTCGCTCTTGACCAGTTCCATATCAAAACACTAACCTCGTGGGAGAGATGGTGGGGCGCGGCGTGGTGTGACGCGCTGATTACGTCTTGTAAGCAACGGGAGAACTCCTCGATGACGTCACGCACGGGATCAGCCTCCTCCTCGGGCCGCGCCCGCTCGCTGCTGTCCACCGACGCGGCGATCAAACACTGACACACCGCCTCTATCACCTCCGCCGTCATGAAACTGCACGGTTGTCTGAAACGAACGTCAACATTTACTACGTTTACGTACCTGAAATACACTTTTCAAAATTGAGATTAAACAACGATATTAACGTAGTCATAATTTAAATTTCATTAATTTGAATATATCGAGTGATAAGTTCAAATTAAAAAAATACTCTTCCGAACTAACATGACACCTGAGGGAGGTCTATTCTATTTCTCCGAAATAGATATTTCGTCTATTTTCGAAATGCTAATAGGACCCCAATCGCATTTTTCGATAATTTTGTAACTGGCATTGCCTCTGATACTCGGATGATCTTCACGGTTATATTGTAAGAAGAATTCGAAATTTTCCGAATTTTCCTTCGACGATAAATAGAATAAGCCCTCAGTCTTGTAACTCTCGAACGCAATCGCAACCTATCTACATTTGTTAATTCGTACATTTTTTATGACTGCGTTGATTGTTAAGCCGCAACGTTGAAACGAATTTCAGTGATTTATTGCTTTTTGAGCGTTTTTAATATGTGGCAAATTCGGTCATACCTTACTAATTAAGAAAAGAAGAATTGTATAAAAATGTTGCTACTTATGACTCACCCTATTGGTTCCGGAGTACCCGGTAATTGCAATGTATTCTATATGATCTGAACTTGGGCTCACTTACAACTCAAAAGTTAAAAGAACGTAATTGTAGATGAAGTTGATACAATAGAAAACCAATACTAGCACGTTATTAGGTTAAAAATATAGCCAAAGTTTAGCTAGTGTTTTAATGTAATTAATGACATAATGAGTACTTGATGTCTGTGGGTGGCGGCGGCCTGTATAGCGAAGAAACAGGCGGATGACGTCGTTGCAAACCCTCTTCTACATTACGGCACCCGACGCATTTGCACATTGACGTGCAAGCTATCTTCGCCTATAAACACATACAGATAATAGACAAATTGTCTAGCATTGCATTGCATATAAGACGTCACATGTATTGCTCAGATTCCAAGATGAATAGTTAAAGTAATATGAAGTCACTGAGACAACGAAGAAATCATTATACCGAGACAATACAGAATAGACATTTTCTACATTCACCCGACAAGAATCTAACCCGGGACCTCAGATATGTAGACTCCTTGAAACCGGTGCGAAAACTACTTGGCTACAGGGGAATATTTCGAAACATATTTTAATTTATTATTGAGTTAAAATATAGTCATTCCAACTTTAAATGAGTTTTCATTACTTTAAAAGAAAAAAATAATCCAAAAGTTAATTTTACCTTAAATATAAGGCGCAAATAGATGGCAATATGATCTGTGACGTCGTTGTTTAAAATAATGGTAAATTGATCACTTAACGCTCGATTTTATTTATTTCCGATTCAAGATCTATTTTTCAAAATGACTCATCATAGTTTGCTAAAATATGGCTGTAATTTTGAAAAATGACGTCTCTAGTTTAAAAATTTATAAATCACGTTATTTTTCATTTAATGTTGGAATAAAATAAATTTTATGGGAAAATTATACTCGTGTTAAATTCTTATATTATTGACATGATAATACTGTTGTTAAATGATACTGTACTTCGTAACACTCGCAATAGTTTTTGAGACAACCACTTCTTTTACAGTTGCAGCCTTTGTTATGCCTTCTTATTATTTCTGGGCCGCCAGCTTTCGTTTTTCCTATTTTAGGCCTAAAAGAAAAGTATGAACATTAGTGATGCTATTTAACAGCAAGTTGTTGGGTGAGTTTCATATAAAGATCGTATATTACCTGAAGGCGTTGGGATTCCTTTCCAGACAAGCACGTATGGCCTTTTGTCGTAGGCCCTCATTTTCGAGGTTATTGTGGCAGTTATCACAGTTGCACCGATTGCAGAATTCGCCGTTAGCGAAGCAGTCGCAGTACAACTTTAAGCACTGAGACTTGGTGCAATTGCACGCACGACGTGGCTTAAATCCTAGTTCGCCAACTACCACGTCTATACATATAACAGTAAATCAATCATATAATTTTACGCATTCATAACACGAGCCACCCTGCAGGAGTAGATAGCCAAAATGATAAATATCGATATTTGATCTTTGAATTTTGCTTTTTAATTTTCTTCCGTTTAAAACATGATGTTTAATAAAGTTTATTGTGCAAATGTTAATAGTCCTAAGTGCAACAGCATCGTCCTTATGTTTATAAAAAAAGTATATACATATATTAATGTCACTGCAGTACAATAAAAACCTAGAAACTGTGTATTTTTAAACTATTTGGTCATGCAAGGTTGCTGGTTGATATAATAAATAAATAAATATTAAACAATATCACATACATTACTCAGATTCCATGATAAGTAACTAAAGCGCCCGTATTATGGAGTATCTGAGATAACGAGTAGCTCGGTGGCGTAGTGGATAAGCGCCGCGGTCCGCGATCGTTGTCGTTAAGCAACTTTCGTAAGGGTCGGTCACGTTAAGCCGTTGATCCCGGCTGCATTTGCAGTCGTTAATACCCTCCAATCCGCATTGGGCCAGTTTGGAGGGTCATCCTCCTTAACCATCCATAAGGAAGGCCTGAGCCCCTGCAGTGGGGACGTAAAAGGGCTGATGATGATGATGAGATAACGAAGATAACACAACACCCAGACCAGAGACAATGTCGAAAAGTTCTTTTTTCTACATTAACCGGACCGAGAATCGGTCCCAAGATTTCAAGAGATAGCGAAACTTTGATTCCAGCGTGCAAACCACTCGACTACGGAGGTCGTTTGCAACTAACCCTTTATTATTGGACATGTGGACACAGATTTCTTTATCTAGCCAATAAAAGATGTTGTGCTATATTCAACCGAAAGTATTTCAGACGACTAAACATAATACTAGTTTCAATGACAAATGTTTCAATGAAACAAAATATAAAAAATATATTTTGTGAAGAATAATATTATTATTTCAAAGAATTTATATAATAAGTTATAAACAGTGGTCGGAATTAGGTAGAGTTATTCATGTACTTACACTGATTTCATACAGCGAAAGAATAAAGTGGATATGCCTCAAATGCCGAGATTAATTTTAAAGAGCAGAAAAAATCCCGTGATTTTTTAAATATAAAAAGTTATTTACTTTTACACAATAAATATATAAACTATTGCACGCACGACGTTGCCAAACTTACATCAATGACATCGGATGTCCAAAGTTGCAAAATTTGTATTGTAAATTAATGTAAACTAATAAAAATTTTATGTTAATTATCTTTGTTTTATTTGTCTATCTCTGACGTTGTTATTATTATTTAGTTGTAAGATTGTTGGCCACACGGGATTGTCCATTAGAAATCCCGGGAAGGTCCACATTAATATCAACATTTCGATGCAAGTACATAAATAACTCTACCTAATTCCGACCTCTGGTTATAAATTAAAAAATGCAATATACCGTCGCTCACTGGTGGTGGAGTTTTCGGTAATTGGTAAGAGTTCAATATCTCCGTTTCAATACGTTGCGCGCTTCTATTCATTTGTGTAGAGTCATTTTCCTAAACAAATCAAAATAGATTCAATAATTAATTTCAATTAAATGTATATAAACATTATGACACAAAATACATCAATTAATCTTAGTAGGATAAACCAAAACTAAACCCCAAGCTTTTTCTACCTCGTGTGTTCATAAGTATTGAAAAAAAAAATGTTATTGACAGTTATTTTTTTTTTACTAATTTGAATTTGGAATGTTAACTTTTAGTTATTTGTATCGCAAATGCATTTGTTTATAATTTCTCGTGATGGAGGGAACGAAACAATTACATGCTATTTAAGACAGGAAGAAACCGATGCAGATTTTCCGCGAGCTGAAAAGTTTTCCTGTAAGCCGAAATCCATGTCGCACTCAGAAGAAACTCGCTCTGCAGACTAATAAATATTTCGCGCATTTCAGTGAACAGAATAGTGAAATATAATCTTAAGGTAAAGGGCCTAGTCGTAGAAAAGTTTAATATTTAAACGATCGTTTTCGTAAGCTACGACGCGAACGTTGTCCACTGCTGCTAAGGAGACATGATTCCAGGAAGATACTTTTCACCGACGAAAAAATTTTTACAGTCGAAGAAAAGTTCAACCGACACATCAATAAAGTGTACCCTAAAAGTAGCAAGGATGTCCCAGCTTCTGCACAGAATGTCTCGCGCACTCATCATCCGGCTAGTGTAATGGTATGGTGGGGAGTTTCGCATGAAGGTGTCACTCCGCTCCATTTCTGCCAACAAGGTGTCAAGGTAAAAGCCAAGAATTATTATCAGAGTGGCATTTAGACTCGGTGGTGAAACTCCTGTCTGATACGTTATTTCACAGTAAGGATTGGGTTTTTCAGCAAGACTCGGCGCCATCCCATAAGGCAAAAAACACCCAAGCTTGGTTAAGGGAGAATGTGCCATCTTTCATATGTGCGGCAATGTGCGGCGGACGAGCAGCCCTCCTCCAGCCCCGACGTAAACCCGCTGGATTATTCTTTATGGACTGATTTAGAGCTCAGGGCCTGCCGAAAGTTCCACCCAAAGTTATGAAGCAAAGAGAATTCCGCTAGAAAAGATTCTTGCCGTTATTGATGACTGGCCAAATCATCTAAAGGCCTGTACTTAAAACAAAGGCGGTCATTTTGAATAAAATATATATTGTATCGTTAATTATTATCTATTTGATGGTTACTGAAAATTTTAGAAATATAAGTTAATTATTAAAAAAGTTACTCAGTTTTTATTACGTCTCAAAACTTATTTATGAACACACGAGGTACAAATCAGCTACCTTAATCACTCATATTTTTTTCTAAATCAGAATTCATGCAAAATTATAATACAGACTAATGCTAGAGTTTGGCAAGCGAAACGTGACACCACCTATTTTTCCGTTTTCATATGGCAACAACATAGAACTGTCAGTTTGACACTACGTTAGACAATTCAAGAATATTGAATTTTGTTGTTTTTGCGAATTTGAACTTGTGTTTTTGGTTAAAAATTATGTCGAAGCCGATAAAAAGTTCATCGAGGAAACTTCTTTCCATCATGATTGACAAGTTTACTGAAGTGAAAACTGAATTAAATAAAAATTTCATGGAGAAATTACAACGATTAGATAAAGTTGTATCTTTTTTAGGTTAGTTTTGTATTATAATTTTGATACTTTCGTTTTAATTTTCTGTAATTAACTAAACAGATATTTTTTATAAAATATTGCTCTATTTCAGATAACTGTGATGGTGATATTCAACCAATAATGGAGGGGATAAATGCAATAAAAACTTTAGAAAAACAAGAAATGCTGAATTCGGAAACGCAGTACTTACAAAAAATTTCTTCAATGACAGGTCTCTTTTCTTGTTTTGATTTAAGATAGATTGATAGTATTCCTATAATATTTACATAGGTTTTTTATGATGTATTGGTTTTTATTGTTGACATCCAATGATGTCATAAGAATGTTTTGTTTAACAAGGAAATTCACAGAATTCATGAAACTAATCAAACCATGTAATTGTTATACATGCTAAATATGCACATAAACTTAACTAAATTAAACATAAATTGCATTCATAGTTGAATAGGTATTTAAATTATTTTGATGTATGTGTCTATCATTATTTGCTTTTAAATACATTTAACATATCTTTGTTTCAAAGTGTTTAATCTTTTATAGATGTAAGTATAAGGACACTAAGAAGGATAAAAAATGAAGCATTAATTAATAAAGGAAAATGGGACACTCCTGGGAAAAAACGACCTCATCAACCAACAGTGTCTGCTTTAGATAATTTTGATTTAAGTGCAATTCGGAATAAAGTAAATGAATTTTACTGTGTGAAAAAAATTGTTCCAACATTAAGAAGCCTTCACAATGAATTAAAAGATGCAATAGGATTCAGTGGTAGCCGTGAGACTTTACGAAAAATTATGCTTAAGAATGGATTTTCTTTTAAAAGCAATGAAAATGAACGTTCTATGCTTATAGAAAAATACCAGATTTCTGCATGGAGGCACAAGTATTTGAGAGAAATAAATATAAAACGAAACGAAGGAAAGCAAATTGTGTACCTTGATGAAACTTATGTACATCAGAATTATAAAGTTAAAAAGTCTTGGCAAGGACCTTCGACAACTGGTGTCACTACAAAGATATCCTCTGGAAAACGGCATATTGTTGTGCATGCTGGATCTGAGGAAGGTTTTGTGCCTGGTGCATTATTAGTGTTCAGTAGTAAATCCAAATCTGCTGATTATCATGATGATATGAACTCATCGAACTTTATGAAATGGGTCAGAGAAAAATTAATACCAAATTTAAGTAAGCCCAGTGTAATTGTTATGGATAATGCCAGCTACCATATAAAACAAATCAATAAACCGCCTATAATGTCTAATACCAAAGCAGATATCCGTAAATGGCTTGTAAATAATGGAATACATTTTGAGGAATATCAGACAAAGGCAGAGTTAATGTGTTTGGTTAATGATAAGAAAACATTGCCTGTATATGAAGCTGAAGAGATTTTAAAAGAACATAATCATGAACTTTTATTGCTGCCACCGTATCATTGTGACTTAAACCCAATAGAGATGGTTTGGAGTCAAGCAAAAAGAAAAATTGCAAGCAGAAACATTGGAATACCAGGAAAGGAAATGGAAAACTTAATAATAGAGTGTTTTAACTTAATTACCCCTAGTGACTGGAAGAAATACACTGATCATGTTTTAAATGTCGAAAATGATTACAAATTAAAAGATGGCATTGTTGAAAACGAACTTGAAAAATTTATTATATCTGTTGGTGCAGACAGTAGTGAAGAGAGTGACTCTGATGATTCCTTGTCATTGTTATCAGGTGTAGAATATTTAGAAACAGATTTTGACTATGAATCAGACTAAAGTATTTTTAGTCTGATTCATAGTCAAAATCTTATCTTAAATTTTCTATTGTGATTAACATGATGATTTTGTGACACCTGTATTATGTAATTTATCCATGGCACTTAATTGTAACAAAAATAAATGTTTTTTTTATTGTAATCTGGTGTTTATATTGACTAATTTAATTTGATAGATAGTGGTTCTGGATCAGAGCAAAAGGTTGTGATGAAAATCCCTTAGGAGACATGTATGTGTTATGAACACATTATAAATATAAGGGCCAGAAATCAAAATTGGCTAACATCACATTTATTAAAAAAATGTGGCCAGAGTCGCCCATATTCATTACAAAAAAACAAAGAAGTCGTTGCAAAAAACACCCTTTTAATTAATGACAAATATGAATTTTTAATATTATAAGTGCTGTTAGCCAATAGGTATAACGAATGGGTTAAAAAAAAGATTCGATTTAGTCCGTCAGTCAGATAATAGAAAAATATTGGATACGTATTTTTTTTCGCTTTAATTTAACAACAAATGGCTTAAGAGGTACTATGCGACGACTTCAAATATGCTTTGCAACAATGTTACTTTAATACAGTTTATCGATACGAAATCAAGTGTCAAAATGGAGTCCAGTGGAGAATGCCGATATTGACATTTCGAAATTGCTCATCATTGATAGAGAATACGAAATAGTGATTTTGACACAATCAAAGTGTCTATTTTTTACGGTGATGACGATTCTTGGTTGTCAGTTGAGTTAGTGAATAGGCCTACTGATATGCTGTTAACTGTACAATTAAGAACAGTCACGCTTTAGTCAAATGTTCCAAAACAAATAATTTTAATTGATATCTAAATGTTAAGATTAAATATAATTAATAAAAGTATCAAAATTATTTTGCAGTACTACATTCAGTGTTTACTGCTTAAGAATTTTTGAAATTGCCGCCCTTTTCTTGTGACACGTTTCGCTTGCCAGACTCTATCTTCAACTGTTTCTATGTAGCTATGCCATTATGCAAATAATGAAAAATTGTAATATAAGTATGATCTCACAAAATAATACATGAATTATGCTATTTTAAATTCTATTACAATCCCTTTTAGGACATTATGTAACTTTTTTTTTAGAACGAATGATGATTTGAACGATCAATAAATATAATAAAAACTAAGTTAAGCCTGCCGAAAGAGTGCAGTTAGCATTGAAATCTTTCGTATGACATATTTCAATAGATTTCAAGCATTTATCGCTTTGCTTAGACAATTTCAATTAACAATATCGTTCATTTATAAACTTATAATAAAATCTCGCTATCACATGTCAAATAGTTGTAACGTGAAGTTCGTGAATTACTTTCAAATGACAAATTAAAAGGGATAGCGTTAGATTTTAAAATTAGACCTCAGTTTCCGGGTTCACTTTATAAAAAGTATTACGAATACGCTATTTTTAATTTACTGGAATTTAAACATATTATTAGGATAAAGCAATAAAATATAAATTTAACGATAGGTAACAGTGGCGACCGTAAAACCCTCCGAACAAAATGATACGTGTTAATTTCACTTAAAAAATTGTTTTGTATTTATACCAGATCTAGTATAAACTAATTAATTTGTTACTAGCTTTCGCCAGCGACTTCACAAGGGTTGTCCCCAGGGAAAGGTTTAGTGGGATAAAAAGTAACCTATTATCTAAGTCAGCTAATACCCTATCTACATACCAAATTTCCTCAAAAATTCCGACTTTTCTTGCGATCATGGACGCTCATTGCTGATTATGAGCCATTATAGGCGATCATATCGTCTCGTAGACTTTTAGTTGTGAACACATTTCAGGTAATTAAATTTTGAAAACAAAAATCGTCCAATACAATTAGGCCGCACTCGAGCCCATGTGAAGATTCAAGCAAACTAAAGTTCTCAGCTAAGAACTCTAAATTGACCCTATTGGCGCTTAGAACTTTTGTCGTTCTGAGCGCCAGGAGGAGCATATCGGACTTCTAAGTCGAAAACATTTATACACGACCTATTGATGAAAAAAAAACTACTTACTGTTTTGATAAATTCATGTAGTTTAAAATCGCTTACCTGTCTCATGTTGTTATCAATGGATTCTTGCTTCATGTAGTTGGATGAGATAACGATCAAGGGGTGCTCTTCTGAACTACCCATAGGCACTAGATGTTCCATACTATTATTACTGTTCGAGTGTTCGCTCTCATCTGGACTCTAAAGACAAAATTTCAAGGTTTCAATTATTAGTTCACAATCAAGATATACTCGTGCAGAAGTTTCGTTTTTGATACACGAAATACATGCGACAACCGGTGGTATAGTTTTCGACATTCATAAGTGCTAGTAGCCGAGACTGAATAACATTTAACATGACTGAAGAACATTTAGTTTTAATTCATCCTCAAGAAAGGCCTAGTCCCAGTTTAGTAGAGATGTTAATAAAAGTTGATAATGACCTGTTGTTGTTCTTGTTGCTCAGCTATGAGTGCGCGCAATGCAGCCTTATTATCCACCTCTTCCGTCTCGTCTAATGACCCTGACATATGGTATGACTCCAGTTGCACTCTCTGCGATATTCTCTAATATTAGTTAAACATCATTAATGTATTGTCAATATGTGGTAACAAAATTCAAAAAGTATGTGTATATTTGATAGCTTAATCTTTTACTGTAATAGTAACTATGTACAGTGGACCCCCGGTGATCCGACAAACGTTTTGCAGGGCAGTGTCGGACTATCGAATTTGTCGGATTATAGAGTACTGCCAAATACGCCCTATAGTTTTTTTTTTAATTACAGATCAGTGATAAAGATCTATATGTTATGTATATATCTATATTACTCTGAAGTACAAATCATACTTCATTATGTATATCGAATCTAGTAGGTAAATTAAAAAACATAATGTAGATTACGTATTAATATAATGTAAAAGTGATGCGAGTGAGTAATGTGAAAAATAATAATTTGCATTAGGAAATAATTGTGTACAAACAAATGTACGTAATAAACAAACAAACCTACGCGTCGAGCGCAATAATGGTGGCGCGCACAAATTATGACCTGTTCAATCATGCATTACGTATCTACCAAAAAATAGTCGGACATGTCGGATTACAGGGGGCGCCGGATTAGACAGGGGCCGGATTACTGGGGGTTCACTGTATTTACATTTTTGTATACATTTAGTATGTTTTGGATAATAAGGAATTTATACCAATCTATTATTTCAGTATTTGAAAAAGAAAAATTAATATTTTAGAATTAGTAGCGTTACGCTCATAAACATACCATTAAATCTATTTATCATTATATAACGAACCTGTGGTGAGTCAGCTTCATGTATAGAGTATGTCGAATCTTGTACGGAGTGTATCGAATCTTGTATCGGGTCTTGCGCCAAGTATGTTGAGTCTTGCGCTGAGTATGTAGGGTCTTGCGAAGAATATGTAGGGTCTCGTGTTGAGTATGTAGGGTCTTGTGTTGATTGTGTGGGATCAGTTGCGGAGTGTGGGTCATCTGTAGAGTGTGTGGTATCATGGATGGAGTGTGATATCGGAGGAGGGAAGTGTTCCCCGCTGGTCGGTTCCTCCACACTCGGTAGTGGTACTAGTAAACTTTGCGAAGATCGAGACGATGCTTGCTGCCAAATAAAATTTAAGTTAATTAGATCTCGTACATGACTTCTTCGAATACCTGCGACTTTTAGTCATCGACTCTAATATTTTGGGAAAAAAAGGGAGCCTATAGACTTCCTCAGGTCTGTAAACTATCCCTGTATCAAAAAACACAATCTAACCTGCGGATACAGTTAAAACGTAGCAGACAGGGTGGCATTAAACTTCTACAATGTTATGGATAAACAAGATTATTTAAAACTGCAATATTAGTCAAAATTCATATGTATTATTAAACCGTGAATGAGACGGTAATGCGGCATCAATATTTATGTTAATCAAAATCGTTCTAGGAGGAAAGGAGTACATATCGATGTACTCCTTTTTTATAAATGCACTTACCGATACAGCTGTTGCTGTCGCTGTTAATGGCGCAGCCGCTATCCTCACAAGTTTTTGTTGCCCTTAACAAATAAAAAGGTTAAACATTTTATGAATCTCATCAAAAACAATTAAAATCAATCAATATGTGATACACTGCTAAATGACTTGCACTGTTAAAAAAAATTTAGATCTTATGTAGAGCCAAACTTCTAACTCAACATGCAAAAGATGCATGCAAAAGTTGCAAGTTTTAGATTTTATCTGTTTGTCTGGGTGTTTTCCATGATGTCAGGAAAGCACCCTACGGATGAGATAGCTAAATTTCACTCAGCATTTAATGTTTGTCAACAAATTACAACGAACACTTTATTTGTTGTTGACATTTTTTATCTGCGATTCTGCTTATAAGTTACTTTTTTTTTAAAACATGTTTAAATATACCACTACACTTACGTTTATCCTTGACACGTGTGAACACGAGGGGTGGCGGAACACCGCCCGGCTGCTTCACGCCCGATATTTGCACCAATTTGCCTGCAATATAAAGCCCGTCACTTATACATATAATCTTGTTTTTTATGAACATTAGAAAATTATAATTTTTAGGAAAATTGAAAAATAAAGAACTCTTATGGATGTCTCGTCTGTCGGTTCGTCCGTATGTCTAATTTACTTCGAATCTATTAGGATTCCAGAGTTTGAGATAGGTAGGTAGATGTATTCTGTATTTTTTTGGAATAGAAAGTGTTTTTTTGTAAAAGGTAATGTTAAAATTTAAGATTTATTTAGCTGGCAAGATATCAATATCGATTTTTAGGTATTAGGTTTTTACCAAAAATTTGCTTAAAAAGTTTTTCTGCAAATTGAGAAAAGTCTAAATTGATTAGAATATACATATAAACAAAGTCAAATAAATGTAAGTACCAAAACTTCCGAGCGTGCTATATTTCTTTTTTTTTTAACTGGAACTAAATATATTGATTTCTTATATTTTGTTTAAGTTGTTTCATTTATGGAACTAATTATTTTTGAAAATAATAAATAGATATAGTGATTCTACTCAGTACCTTTACTATCGCTGAGCACGAAGGATTTTGTGGTTGGTGAGCCACTCTGTTGCTTGGTGACCGTCGTCCCTTCATTCGAAGTTTGATTTGATATCAACCTTATGTATTGAATCTGTAAGAGGGATGCCGTTTTAGTTTGATTATTGTTAGGGTTTCGTAGTAAACAGAGAACCGTTATAGTTTCGTCAGTTCCGTTTATCTCGCCGTCCTATTCGTACTAAAGAGATGTAATTTGGGATGTGTACAAAGTACACACATTAATAACGCCGACAAGGTGGTAAAATAAAATTTCGGAAATAGAATATTTTTTGGGTAAGTAATAGCGGTCATTTTTGTTAAATCTTAAGCGGGGAATTCACTAGGCAGGCACGCCCGCGGGCAAGTCTGCCGAGCATGTCTGTCCTTCACAACACACTACACAGACTCGTCAGTTAGTGTTCGACGCGGTAAGCGATTGGTTGTGTTATCAGTGCATATTATAATGGCAACGAAACGAAGAAAAATAGTATTAGTTACTGCTACATTCATTCTATTTGACGAAAATAAAAAGAAAAGAATTTGGTGAAAAGAATAATACAAAAACAGACATAAGTTTAGCGATATAAATTTACTTTAGAAATGAGTTTCAAAGTAAAATATGCTACGAAATATATATGTCAAGAGTACCTCATAATCACTATGCGATTTTAATAGAAATATGATATATCGAGTAAAAACTCTGTGCCTGTGATCGATGAAAATACATTTTGGTAAATATTTCATAAGTAAGTAATGCACTTAAAATTAAATTGTTTTTAATATAAAGTCCATTATATAACCTTTAAAACTATATGTAACACTAAATGATATTGTAATATATCTTTTAGTGTTACATCACTAGCTTCAAAAATAAATTATTTTCTGGGGTCCCTTATAAAAAAAAAGTTTGCAAAATATTCACAGCACTTGAGGCACTTATCGATTTTGCGCGATCGAGCTCTCTACGGGTCAATGTAATGTGGGCAATCACTACATTAAAAACAGTTTTTGATGATGCATTTTAAAACCTTTGATGAAAACAGAAAAACATCTTACTCCTTTCCCAGGGATGTTAACTTGATGAAGTTGGGATCTCTGGCCCTGCATCAATACTTTTCCATCTTTCGTTATCTGAAATTAAAAGTAAACTCTTATTGCGTTTTGCGACGAAAGATATGACAAAAACATTTCATTTCAAATATGTGTTAAATGCCGCAGATTTTTAAAGTGTGCTATTAGCCCTAGTACTGAGTAGTCCTAGGAGATTCACGAAAATGTTGGTTATATTTCGGCAAATTATCGAAGTAGAATAATATATGTAATTCAATCATAAACAGTACACATAAAGCTTGGTTTTATTTGGTTTCTATAAAAGTAACATCGCTAGAAAAGTTTGAGAACCACTGGTCTAACATATATCATAATACAGCTAGGTTTTGTTTTATTTAGTTTCCTTAGAAGTTCCACCGGCAAAAAAGGTTGCGAACCGCTGGTCTAACATATATATATATATACAATCTATATAAAACTTGGCGTTAAACGGAAGTTTTAGTTACTATTATTTAGGTATGCTTACTTGAGCCGTCTTTGGTGAGGCAGTTGTCTTTATAACAGCTTTCTGTCCAGTTTGTGTGGAATTTGGCATTATCACAACTTTCGTTTTGGCTCCTGTATAAAATTTATAAGAAAATATAAATTACTTTTGAAATTGCGGCAAAATACTTTATGGTATACAAATAGATATTGCAAAAAATACAATAAACTATCGATACTCGAGCGATGATCTTCTGATCATACTTTTAACCATCAGACCACTAGCAGTAGCAGATCATCATGACTAAACTCTCGATCGATAGAATGTTTGTGGTAAATTACAACCTGTGTATTTTATAAGAGCAAGCCCGCACTAGCAATTTTTAGTTAACCCATAATTTGATCGCTCTGGCAATATATTACAAACAGGGCTATAATAAAGAGCACGTATTTAGCGATAAAAAATCGGCTGATCGTTCAGTACCGATTATCTGAGCGATCAATTATCGGCTGACTAAGAACCGCTAGCGTGAGCTTGATGTAATAAGGAAAAAGGTTGTAATTTACTTGTTGCCTTATTTTAATCACCGTCAATTCGAGCCTTACCAGTAAATTTTACGCCCTTTTCCGTAGGGGATCCCATCACCACCTGTAAATTCAAAATGATCTATGTTCATAAGATCATACTTATTTTTTTAATTCTTGTAACATTAATTTATATTAAATCAATTGACAGAATTTATTTGCATTTTATTGTTAAATATTTAACTGTAATTTGTTTGACTATCTCTTTAATTGAATATAGTGCACTGCATAACAAATGATTTTGTCAATTATAAAATTAATATTTACTATTATTAATTCAAAATATAATTTGCCTTTTTCTCGAAGGATATGGGTACAGTTTTCCGTTGCATTACATAACGTGTTTGCATTTGCGGCACATTCGCACTCGATGTAGGCATTACCTTCGTTATCACAGCAGGCTGGTTGGATAAATCTATGTTTGATTGGCCTAGAAAATAATATAAATAAAATATTAAACATTCTAGGCATGACTCATATGCAACTGCAGAGATTTTAAAAACGGAAACTCTTATTGAAGAGAATCCTCAATGGAAGAACACCAAAAACATGGAATAAGGTTGTTTTGCATTTCATATGCACTGAACACTTCATGAAATAAATTTATATAAATATACCTTGAAGGATAACTTTAGCTAGGATTGGTTTATTTGTCTGTAATCCAGAAATATTTTTAGCTGGAATCAGCTGGGCCTGGAATTTAAAAAATAATATAATTATTTTTATTTTTTAACATTTAAATTTCACAATGGTTTAAGAGTTCAATCTAATTTTACAAACCAGATCAGATCCAGCTTTAACATATTGAACAGTTGACACCCCCGAGTTGCCAGTAGTCACTAATTTAATTTTTTGTCCGCCTCCAGATGAGGGCATAACAACCAGCTGTTTACCAATTTGTGCTGCAAACAAACAATTTGTTTCAATATAGTATAGTTTTGTAGGAAAAAAAAAACATAAATTGTAGTTCAATCAACTATTACATTATTAATATAATTTAAAATGACATAAACATTTTTTTTACTTAACCGGTTAACAAACAGAATAACCTTCATAGGAATTTGAATGAGAAGTTAATGCCATGCCTTAAACATGGCTGACCCGTGCGTCATTCTCGTGAACGGGTACTATTAGTAGAGATGAGTGTGCTCTAGACTATTTATTCCTGTCCATTATATTTTAATTTGCTTTTGTATACTAAATTAATTTGTCTTGAGCTTGTTTAACTCTGCATGTAAGTATTTTCTAATATTGTGATAGAAAGTAACTTCATATTCTAATGAAGTCATTTTATAATCCTGATGTCTCTGTATGAAATAAAACAGGGAGAAAAAAGCCTTGCAGTTTCTTGCCAGTTCTTATCGGTATAAGGTCTCCCGCCATAGATGTATAAACAGCTGGCATAGTTTTGATTTTCACTAATGCTTGCAACAGTGTAGACTGAACAAATGATTTTGATTTGATTCAAATGTATAATTATTGTTAATGTATGTATTTGTGTTTGTTGATGCTGGGGCCATTTTCAACTCTGTCCTTTTAGTTACTTTATATAGACACCAAAAATATCTAGAGCATGGAAAACATGGGCTATGACTATAAGTATTATGTGAGCGTTACTAGAAAACAATATAAACCACTACCAAAACCGTCATTTCCACAAGGTATATAAAGGTAGTGATGCATATAGTTTACTAGTAATTAGTAATACTAATATAATACTATTAATAATAGTCAAATTTTTTTACCTTTTGATAATTTCCTCATAGGCAAAAATTTTTTGTACTTACCTAAAACTGTGCCACTTTGTGTACCATCTTTCATAACTGTAGTTATAGGTACTTTCTTGACATTACTTCGATTTGCAACCAATGCAACCGATTGTGGTGCTATTGCAACCTGTGAGGTTTGAGGAATTGTGCATCTGGTACTGACAGCGGGGATCAATTTCGGTAGTTTTGGAGCTATAGCTATCTGACGTGGGATAGCTGTTGATGGTTGTGAGTCAGACTTTTTAGGTGCTATAGCTGGAGACGCAGCCTGTGTATCATAAGAAATTAAATATTTTCTATATTAAAAAAAGTTAACAGATGAATTAAGTCTATTGAAGGAGCAAAAATAAACTGAGAAAAAATAATTTAGTACAGAAGCTCTTTATTTGCATTTTCATTATTCGAAAAATAGCAACCCAATTTCTGAACTTGTGACTAAAATGTGTTTAATCATAGATGCAATCAGTAACATAAAGGAACTCAGAGTAATTTTTGCTTGATAGTAGCATTCATAAACTACTTTGAAAAAAGCTACATTATGAATGCTGAAGCTACTTATTTATAAATCTGAAAGGATAATGAATAATGCCTTTTAAAACACTTATTTATATTTATAGCTGACAATAAAGATTGATTTTAATTGGTAGTTCCTCAATAACCTCACCTCAATTGTATTTTTTATAAGATACATATTGCATTTATTGATGAAATTATAATGAGAGTTCAACAATACCTTCACTGCTATATATTTTTGTTTCCCTTTAACTCCTACCCTAACTGGTGGTGTCATTTCTTGTGACTCAAATTGGAGATCTATATTTGCCGACTGATTTGCCAATAAATCTTGTTGCTGAAAGAAAAAAAAACTATAAGTTTTTCACTTAGAATTAAAAAAGTCAAACAAAAAAAAGTATAATTATTATATTTGATCAAATTTGCATTTAAGCAATTGTAATTATGAATAAGAAATTATAATTTACATTAGAATCTTCAGTTGTGGTCATCCCAGTAGTTTGATCATCATGAATTGAATACTCTTGTAGGTTGAATTGGTCACCCATAAAATCTGAAACTGCAATATAATTTGATTAAAAAAATGATGCAATACCACTTCTTTATTTGCCAACTTCCATAACTTAGTTGGTTAAATAGTAACACAGTCATTTTGCTTGAAACCGTAAACTACATAAATACCAATTTACATCACTGTAAATAAAAAAACATACAATTACTCTGTTTATAGAATTTCCGAAAATTCTTTCTTACACACTTCTACATAATAGGAAAAACTTACAAACTTACTCTCTATATTTCAAGTCTCTACAATAAGGAATTAACTCTGTAAGTTGTCTACAAATCGATCAGTATGTGAAAATCAAAATGATTATATTATATATTCGGAACATACCAATTATTTCTTCATTGCCAGAATCCATGAGAATAGGTTGTTCTTCAATATGTTCAAATTCCATAGCTATTTCGCCTCCTTGGGTGCTAGTATCCAGATTAATATCTGCTTGGCTAACTACAACATCTTCTGCATTCTCAAAGTCAATCTGAGTTAAGGTATTTGAACTATTAATGTAAGCATTTATAAATCAGATAATTATTTAAAATACTATGTGTCTAAAATAAAATTATATTTAAGAGTAACTAATAAAAACTGGACAAAATAAACTAATACAACTTACTCCTCCTATAGCACTCTCCAAATTCAAAGCATCGTCGAGATTGTGTTCCATTTTGCAAAAAAATCAAAATAGTTTGAGGTAAACTAAAATACTATTCAGCTATTCATTGGTGAACTCTTTCCATAAAACTTAGATTATTGTAAACATTCTTGAGTTCAAATGACGCCGCCATTTTACCTTGTCAAATCAACATAGTCGCCACGGTTGAAAACAATTTTTAACAAACAACCAACTAACGATACTCTGAACGGTATACGAATAAATTAATATCAAACACTCTTTTTCAAACAAAACAATAATCGTAATGTTTACAAATATCATTTATTTTTTATTAGAAATTGTATTCTCAACTTTTTATTGGAAAATTCGCATAAAATATTAAAATGGCGCCTTTCAATTTTACTTTACCAACCTGCAGATAAATACTGTCATATGACATTTTACATTTTAAATTAGGAAGTATTTAAAAAAAAAACATTAGTTCCCGAAATCACTTTCTTGGTTTCTCCGTGACAACCCTTCCGGTTTCCTTTCATGTTTCTTCCTTTTAACCTTTCTTTTTTAACCTTTCTTTCGTTCCTTTTAACTAATACATTAAAAAACTGAAATTTGAAAATTTCGATACTTATAATAGATATCAATACAAATACGAAAAAATACAAATAGAATAAGAGTTGTTTATTGACTTTTGAAAACTAATTTACTTTTAAACTTGAAAGAAAACCGGAAAAGTTGTCATGGAGAAATCAAGAACGTACTTTAGCGACATCTAGTTTGATTTAGGGAACTAATGTTTCTTTAAAATACTTCCTCATAGGTTAGTTGACAATTTGAACAAATCTTAAGCGGGGAAGTCACTAGACAGGCACGCCCGCGGGCAAGTCTGCCGGGCATGTCTGTCGTTCAAAACACACTACACAGACTCGTCAATTAGTGTTTGACGCGCTATGCGACTGACGCGACTGGTTATGTTATCAGTGCATATTACAATGGCTACGAAACGGAGAAAAATAGCATTAGTTGCTGCTGCATTAATTCTATTTGGCGAAAAGAAAAAGAAAAGAGTTTGGTGTAAAGAATGGTACAAAAACAGACATAAATTTAGTCATAGAAATTTATGAACCTGGGTGACTTATACAGTTACATGCGCATGGATATTTATAAAACCATCCCAAAATTTTTTATTTTCATTAAAACTCATTTTGTTTCACGTTGTCGACGTCCGTAACGCTTGCTGTCCAGCTCGGGTCTTAGCAATCGGCCCGCTGTGAGTCTTGTCTACAGACTTGTTTGACCCGCGCAGACAAAATGAGATCTCACGGACGAGCGACGGGCACAGACTGCGACGGGCAGTCGGCAGACTGCCTGTGACGGACCTACACTAGGCAGACATGACACAGACCTATAGTAACGAGGTCTGTCTGCAGGCATGTCTGCAGACTTGCCCGCGGGCATGCCTGTCTAGTGAATTCCCCGCTGTAGTCTAGAGCGTGACTTCGTTGAAAGATTGAAGTGTGCGCGTGCGCGAGCTTAGGTGTTATTAAAGGAATTTATCGTGATTCGGTGTTTTTCTTTAAAATAGTTTCACTTTTCATGGGAACTCTTCTTACTTTAACTCAGAAGTACGTTTTGTTGGCCTTCTAAGCCTTCTTTTCGGAATTTTTTGCGTCTTTAGCATATAAACTTGTTTTATGTGAAATCTGTGAGATTATTAGTTTTATGTTAAATCTGTGACATCATTTTTTATTAGTGACTTATTAAATTATTGTGTAAATCTAGAGCTTAGTAATAAAAGGTGCACTTTTACTCAATTCTTTGTTTTAATACGCATTCTGTGGTAACAAGTGCGGCGTTTTATCAGTATGTCAGCAGTTAGGGCGCATGTGCACTACACTGAATTTTCAGGTCCGGCGGTCCGATTTTTTCCGGTCCGATATGTCATGCCATATGTAGGTAATGCTAGCCTGTGCACTGTCAGGAATTTTAGCGTCCGGAATTTTACTTTTCTCTATTCCGGACCGGTTTTTTAGGTCCATGATGGCGGCAATAAAAAACGTGTTTACGCCTGTGCACTGCTGTGTCCGCGATCCGGAAAATTCATGAGCCCGCGGAGTAGGCTTGGGAAAAAATAATTGATTTATGAAAAATCGATATTTATTTCGGCGATATTGTTAATTTTTGATATATTGATAATCGATATTTATTGTAGATTATAAAATGCAAAATTTTATATGATGATTTAATATAGTTGGTAAATATCACTTCATATGCTTTGGCAAACTCGATTTAATACTAATTTGATCATCGTATATTTCTAGTATCGATACTTTGCTTGATTTTAGAATCGGATTAAAAGTATTGATAACTTAAGGTATGACAAATAAGTGTTGTTACGCTTAGGTGTCTAAACAACTGAACCCATCTTAATGGAAATTTATATAGAAATAAAATCAACCTTAAGAAATGACATAGACTACATTTTATCACGAAAAATAGGTGGAAATAAGGGAAATAAGAACGTTTGCGTGGAAATTTGTCATTATCAAATTTTGTATTTAGACAAATGATAAGATACGTATAATATAATACATCTGACAGTAGTAAAAAAAAATACTTTCGTCCTGCCCCAATTTATTATAGTTTATGTAAAATGACCCTGTTAGGTCATTATTTAGGTACCTTTCATTTACAAGGGGATGAACTCAATATTTTTTGTCTTCTACGTCTTCGCACGTAAATCTTCCGAATATCTCATCGTACCTAGTGTAAGTGACGTGTAGCTTCTAAGAGAGCTACACTATACTGCACCGCTCCGATCCGGAAAAAAACGGACAAGTGTACAGGCTATCATCCAAGATTTACATGTTATTCCGGACCGGAAAAAATCTGACCGCCGGAACTGAAAATTCAGTGTATTGTACAAGCGCCCTTAATCCGAGCTCGCAACCCCGGTGGTCGCGGGGAATTCCCTGAAATAGATATCGGTCCCGTTGTCGTTTCGTCGGTGGAGATCGAGAATGTTCACCTCGTAGACTTCGCTTACCGTCTACCGGTCGTAGTCGCCGTGGCGTTCGTAACACTAATAGAAATCGTAGCAATGATTCCATACATATTCCATACGGGATACGTAATGCGCTATTCTAACACAGTTAGAAAATTCTCACGAATTTGACGATGAGATTAATTTAGTAAAGGATTGTGCTCTTACTGTAACAAAGGAAACATTTACACCACCCGGTATGCCACCACAAAAAAACGAATTTACTATTGACTGTCAATCAGTCACGATGAGGTGAGTAGTGCGACTACGTCATCCAAACACATGTTAACAAACGCTTTCTTTGAATACTGCCATATGGTCAAATCAGCCGTATTATATTTATTCTTTTGAACCATCACTTCACAACACTGAAGTCTGGCGTCAAAAAGTCGACCGTGCTAAACTTATTAATAACTGAAGTGATAACGAATGGTTTTCTAAGATAGAAAATTGATTGAAAGCCGATTCTAGAACATGGCTCAATGAGTGGGTCACAAGTGATCGCATTTGGAGCAATTTTAAAAAAGAATTTAAGCCATTATATCCGAAAAACGTCAATGTAGCGGACATATTGTTCGACGTAATGAGTATGGCGCTTATTGTAAAACTATTTTGTGATGAAGAAAGCATGGCGATGTAACTCAAATGTTTCCTTTGTTGTCTAATTTCATCTTTAATATTATCATTTGCCCATTCATCCGCTAACTTTGAACGCATATTTTCACAAATTAATCTTTTGAAAACAAAACAGCGAATAGGCTTTCTACTGAATCAATCACTGGTCTATTACATTCAAACGACTCTTTAATACAGCTCATTGTTATGATTTTGAAATTAATTCGAAGATGACAGCGGCTAAGACCAAAGAATATTGGTATAATAAATAATTATACTTAAGTGTGCTTGTTATAAATTAGTCTGTCAATTTTTTCAATAAATAAACGAATTTGATTGAATATTGTTTTTTTTTTCAAAAACCGATTTTTGGTACACATATACCGATTTTAGGTGGGAACTCTACCTGCGGATCTCGCTCTGTGACGTTCGAAACCACTGGCGCAATCATAGATAATATATTGTGTGTGATGTTATGTGCGTTTAATTAAGTTTTTAGGTATTGTTATCAATTAAAATTGTAAAGCCTCATACGACATTCTATTAAACACTATGCCGCTTAATTTGCAAGGAGTACGTCAATATCTAAGCGAACTAAGGAACTCTGGCGGATTGCACAAAGATCAAGCGGAGAAGTGAGTTTTATAATTTATTAAAATCTTTTCTCAATAAAATAAACCATAAACACTTACATATACTATTCACAGCAAAACTAAGACTGCATATTTATCAAATTTTAGCATTTTTAATAGCTTTAAATTTAATTTTCAAATCATTGAGAAATTTGATTGATTTGTAAAAATACCCTTGATTGTAAATAAATTTATTATCAACAAACATAATAACAGTGTCACAAGTTGCTCATAATTCCTACTTCAAGAATAGGTTAATAAAAACACTAATTGTAAAATTAAACCTGGGAAATGAGTATTTCATGAATACACTTTTATATCCCAGTCTTACTTTACAATTATTATTTTTTTCAAGTTTCTAATTTACCATTGTAACAGTTTAAAAACAGTCGAATCAAAAAGATTGAAACTTGATATGTTATATGTGTGTGATGGATAGGCAAATTGTGAAATTGTTTTGAAAACTATTAAAGAAAAATGTTTTGTGTTTATATATTTTTGCTCACAAGGCATCACTATCAGCCTATTAAAGTATCAGTTCCTGAGTATGGTGGGGTGCATTATTATTACATTGTTTCAAACATACAAATCTGAGCAGTAATAATATTAATCATTTATTCTCTCAAAAAAATAATGAGGTTCCAAGAAGAGTCTTTGCTGATATACACACATTCAATGAATTAAGGAGAATGGGCCATTGATTATTATTAATTAACAAGATATGAAGTACATAAATATTTTTTATAGGTATAGAAATGTGTTGATGGAAATTCTGGAAAACACAGGAGAGTTAGCTGAATCATTGAAGGCATTTGTTGAAGCAAGTAAGCGTTTTAAAAGTAATACTCACCTATCGCTGTTCTATTATTAATAGAAACTGCTCATTTTCTACATCATTCAATCAGAGGTCTTTGTAAGTTTCTATAATAAAATTCCATGTAATATTTAATCATTAAATTTTAATCGCCTAGGCATCAAAAAATGCTGATACAAAAGCTTATTTTTAGGTATCTTATTAGAAAAAAGAATATTTGGACTTAAGTCTATCTGGCCAGTTTGATACATGTTAAAGTTTCCAATTTATATGCTTAAAAGGAAAATTGGAGTACCTATGCCTAACCTAACTTACAAATTTCAACTTTTAGTTAATCAAATTACTCTAAAATAATTTCTGTGTATCTATAAAATATATATGTATCAACTTTTCAATGGTACTTATTGTTTTAGTTGTTAATGAAAATGTGAGTTTAGTTATCTCTAGACAGCTACTCACAGATGTCAGCACTCATTTGGCTTTGCTACCAGACAATGTATCACAGGAGGTATCACACTTTGCATTAGATGTCATCCAACCAAGGGTCATCTCATTTGAAGAACAGGTAATAGTTGGCAAAATAAAAAATTAAATATAAAAATACATTTAAATAAACACGAATATTCTAATTTTAAATCATTAAATCACATCATTGTCTTAGTATATTTAAACTAAAAGTAGAATTTCTTAATCTGGTATCTTGTGACCTTAAACACAACCTGGCATAGTATCAGACCAGTTGACAGACCTTGAGCAGAATTATTCGAAAGTATTTAAAAGGGTGTGTTTTGCAGCAAAGTCAAATTTTATTAAAGAGAAAATAAAGAATTCCAATAATAAAGTCAAAACAACTTGGAATATAATAAACCGTGAAACCGGTAAGGAGCAAATACGTGAAGATATTCTGACACTTAACTTTAATAACACGACCATCAAATCTCATGATAAAATTGCTAATATCTTTGATGAGTATTTTTTAAACATACCTATTAAAACAACATCTGGTTTAAATTCTTCACCAACTGCCGCAAAGGCTATTTTAGAAAAATACGTGCCTAAGGTAGACAGCCAGTTTAAATTTAAATATATTAGTTTCTTAGATATTATTAAAACTTTTAATTGTCTGAAAATAAAAAACACATGTGATTTATGGGGCATATCTCTTAATATTATTAAAAGTATAGTTCATGTTATAGCCCCTTACTTGGCTGATATATTTAATCTTTGTATAGATGAAGGAATTTTTCCAAATCTTATGAAGCTAAGCAAAGTTATACCTCTTTTTAAATCCGGAAATAGGGAAGACCATAGTAATTATAGACCTATATCAATATTACCGACGTTAAGTAAAATCTTTGAAAAAATAATTCTTGAACAGTTATTGTCTTATTTTAATTTAAATAAATTACTGCATACTAAACAATATGGTTTCACAAAAGGTCGCTCTACTGCTGATGCTGGTATAGCACTTCTTAAACATATATTCAGAGCTTGGGAGGCGTCACAGAATGCTCTTGGAGTATTTTGTGACTTATCCAAAGCATTTGATTGCGTTGAGCATCGAACACTAGTAACGAAGCTAAATTACTATGGTATCAAAGATTCCGCCCTACAACTAATATTGTCGTACCTCAGTTGCAGAACTCAAACTATCGATATTAACGGTGTGAGATCATCTGGATCACAAGTAAAAATGGGAGTTCCCCAGGGATCTATTCTGGGTCCCTTTCTGTTTCTAACTTACATAAATGATTTGCCATTTTTTGCCGAAACTTTATGCGATATAGTATTGTTTGCAGATGATACTTCTTTAATATTTAATATTGATAGATGTAAAAATAATTTTGACGATGTAAACAATGCTCTATCACAGATTATGACCTGGTTTACTGTAAATAATCTCCAGTTAAATGCTAAAAAAACGAAATGTATAAAGTTTATGTTACCTAATGTAAAAGCTGAACTTACAGAAATTAAACTTAATAATGAAAAGCTCGAGTTGGTTGATTCAACAATCTTCTTAGGTGTAACGCTGGATTCTAAATTGCAATGGCATCCTCACATTTCATTATTGGCAGGAAAACTAAGTTCAGCTGCCTTTGCAATAAAAAAAATTAGGCAACTTACAGATGTAGATACCGCTAGGACAGTATACTTTAGTTATTTCCATAGCGTTATGTCATATGGCATTCTGATGTGGGGTATGGCTGCAGATATAGAGTCTATATTTATTTTACAAAAAAGAGCAGTAAGGGCCATTTATCAATTGGGTTCAAGAACGTCACTTAGAGATAAATTCAAAGAAATTGGGATATTAACAGTGGCCTCCCAATTCATATATAATTGTATACTTTATGTTAGAAACAATATAAACAATTATATTAAACATAGTCATGTACACAATTTTAATACTAGAAACAAAGATAAACTTGTTTTGCCGTCATGCAGGCTAAAGAAGGTTCTATCGTCATTTATGGGTCAAGGTGTACACTACTATAACAAAATTCCTATGGAAATTTTAAATTTACCAATACCTAAGTTTAAAACCCATGTTAAGAATTGTCTACTCAGTAAAGGATATTATACTATTAATGAATATTTAAACGACAAAACTACTTGGAGTTAAATATGGCTCATTTTTCATATATATTAAATTGTTAATCGGTGAGCTTCTTTGGCTACAAATGTGATTGGATTGACGAAAATACTGTTTTACTCTTAATATTGTGTTATATTGTAATGGAAAGTGACTTCAAATTTTAATGAAGTCATTTTTCAATCTTGACGCTCTGTATGAAATAAAACAGGGAGAAAAAAGCAGCCCTTGCCGAGTTTCTTGCCGGTTCTTCTCGGTACAAGGTCGCCGTAGATTTACGAACCGTTGGCGTAGCTCTCGACTTTCACAAGTGCTTGTAACAGCCTAGACTGAATAAATGATTTTGATTTGATTTGATTTGATTTGAGTTGTGAATAACTACCTATTTATATTGTAGCAGAGCCATAGGTTTGTGTTTTTCTTGTCTTAGTTATATCAAGCTATTTTATAGCAGATTATTAGATGGTCCTATATTTCTCTGATTAGTAGCTTATAATCTATTAAATGAAAACCCTATGATTATTGTTTTATTTTCATGCGATTGTGAATACCCAATATCAACCATAGTATGTTAACAAACAGAGAACACATATATAATAATCATACCATGTAATAGTATATTTTCAGCTGTTTATCATTATTTTCTTTTCTCTGCCAGGTGGCAAGTATCAGACAGCATTTAGCTGATATTTATGAACGAAATCAGAACTGGAAAGAAGCTGCAAATGTCCTTGTTGGAATACCACTAGAAACTGGACAAAAGTATTGTAACTTCTATAATTATCATCATAATATTTCACAATTATGTATTATGGTAATAATGTACTTGGTTCACATATATATGAATTATTTGCAGGCAATATTCTGTTGATTACAAGTTAGAGACATATCTAAAAATAGCCAGACTGTATCTGGAAGTTGATGACCCAGTCCAAGCTGAAGCTTTTGTCAATAGAGCCTCCTTACTACAAGCAGAAACAACAAATGAACAACTTCAGATCTATTACAAAGTGTGTTATGCCAGAGTATTAGATTATAGAAGGTAGATCCTCCATAATATTTATTATTTTGAAATATAAAATCTGTTAATAAAATGGGAGAATCTTAGTACGAAATAGCAAAAATACCTCTCCTGCTTGTAAAAAATAAGACATGGCCAGATCCCCCCTTATTCATCGAAGTCAATCGATGAATGGCGCCTTTAGGACATCCTTCACTAAAACCTGTTTTTTTTTAGTTTCATTCTAAAAGTAATTTAATTTTGAATACTTTTATATTCTATAACTTGTAATAATCTACTTCCTTTATTAATCATGTATCCAGATTATATCTAAACTAGCTTTTGCCCGCGACTTCGTCCGCGTGGTAGTTACTTTGAGCAGAATTGCTAACAAATATTTATTCATTATATCATGTAAAATACCTGAAATAAAGTTTCATCCCCTATTTTATCTCCTTAGGGGTAGAATTGATCAAAATCCTTTCTTAGGGGACGTCAAAGTAGCTTAATGCATGCAAAGTCTCAGCCCGATTGGTTTAAAATTGACAGTTTCATACAAACTCATTCCCTATTTTATCCCCTTGTGGATATAATTGATCAAAATCCATTCGTAGCGGACGCCTACGTCATAACATCTACCTGCATGCCAAATTTCAGCCCGATCCGTCCAGTGGTTTGGACTGTGCGTTGATAGATCTCTATGTCAGTCAGTCACTTTTGAGTTATATATATTTATATAATACTATCGCCATGTACCCCCTCCCTCTTGTTCTTTATTTGTTTATTTAGTTTTCAACATGGGTTGTCTGGTCGAGTTAACTTCCTAGCATAAGTCCGCCTTTTGTGTCCTTTCTTTCTTATGGTAATTGTTTTATAGAAAACAAAAAGCTTTACAAATTTTGTCCAAAATGACCATCGTTTGCAGCCAATTCTTTGTATAGTTTTTGTCAGATGAATTTATCGGATTATGATTATATTTATTAAAATCTCTGTTACATTGTAAAGTGTGCCATTTCTATATTTTTAGGAAGTTCATTGAAGCTGCTCAGAGGTATAATGAATTATCATACCGGAATATAATACATGAAGATGAGAGAATGACCTGCCTCAGAAATGCATTGATTTGTACAGTACTAGCTTCAGCAGGTGTTATAATAACAAATTCTGCCGATTTATTTTAATTTAAAAATTTCTACATCATTTTTATAATAATATTATTTGCTATCTTTAGGTCAACAAAGATCTAGAATGCTAGCTACATTATTCAAAGACGAGCGATGCCAGCAGTTACCAGCTTATTCTATTTTAGAGAAAATGTATTTGGACCGCATAATAAGACGCTCAGAATTACATGAGTTTGAAGCACTTATGCAAACCCATCAAAAAGTAAGTTTTTGTAATATAAATATGAAGAAATATATATTTGCTAATAATCCGAGCATAAACCTATATTGATGAAAATGAAACTTGCATTGCCTTGATAGAATAATATATGTCTGTAATAAAAGTGTGAGTGAAAATTTTATGGTGTTTGCGTAGATATGGCCATACGCAATGACTCATGTGCGCAGCTCCCTTGTGTATGGTGCATGAAAGGTCAGGAAATATTTCCGTGATGTATTGTGACTACAGACTACATAATGTATTGTGTTCTGTAAAATAATATATCTGTATGGCATTTAATTTTTGTTTATGGCCATACATGTAATAGACTAATTATGGCCACACATGGGAACTGATTATCCTTGTTTGAACAATAATTTATCATTGATTTTGGATACGGGAGTCAGTGCAAGATGGGTGCTATTGTTTGTAAAAACTTCACCTTGTTTCGTGTTTGTGCATTTTTGGTTACAGTATTTAATAAATAGGTAAGGTAATGTATTTAATAGTATTCGTCGCACACCGAACAGGACCTGTCAGCACAAACTGAGGCAGGGTCCTGATTGACCTCTGGAATTATTATAATTGTATTATTTATTAAAAGTGGTGTGTTTTATAATCATATTTTGTAATGTATTTGTTTGTGTGATTGAGGTCAATAAATGTTTCTTCTTCAGATATGAACTAATAATTCATATAAGTAGTACAATAGAATCACTAAGTGCTTGCGCACACTGAACAAAACTGTTTTGTCGATCATCGACAGAACTGTCTCAAAACAGTCTTGACAACTACACAGTTCCTATTCCTACCCTTATAAAAAAGCTAGAACGAATGGAAGTTAGAGGTACATAATTAGATTTACCAACAGCTTACTTAAAATACAGAACTCAAAATATAAAAATAGGGTCTCGTATTAGTGCTGAACTGCCAGTTACTTATGGGGTACGTCAGGGCAGTATTCTGGGTCCTATCCTCTTCGTCGTTTATATTAATGATCTACTATGTATCAAATCTTTTGATGGTAAAATAATCTCTTATACATATGACACTGCTCTCTCTTTTGTTTCAAAGACGTAAAATGAGGCCTAAATTTCCTGAATTATCTAGGCTTAGGAAAGTCTCGCGCTCAGCCTTCTTGCCCCTTCGCTTTAGATGATCTCAACCGTCATTTCTCTCCTGTTAATACTTTCAATATCAATGCTAAGTACCTCACTTTATACAGACTTTTCTACGACTATATCCCCTAGTAATCTCCTCTCATTTACCTACTTCTCACCGAAGATGACACTCGTAAGTTGATTGTTTCTATAAATTCCAAGGTTATGGGATCCGACAACATTAGCAGGAATATGACAAATCCCCTACTTGATGCTATTCTCCCGGCACTAACATTAATACTTAACCCCTCTTTATCATCTGGTTCCTTTCCCGACGCCTGGCTCAGTGCTTACACTATTCCTTCCCTAAAATTTTCTACCCTGACTTCATGAATTATTATAGACCAATTTTAATTTTTCCTTTCCTCTCCAAAGTTCTCGAAGCCGCTGTCCATAAACAACTTTCATCCTTTGTTTTTCGTCATCAGCTCCTATCCCCTTTCCAATCAGGATCCGCCCGGGTCATAGCACTTCCACTGCCCTTATTAAAACCGTTGACGACATTCGTGACGGTATGGAGAACTCTCGTTAAACTGTGTAAGTTTTACGTGATTGTTCTAACGCTTTTAACACAGTTGATTACGATATCGTCCTTGCTCTTGTTTCTCAGCTTGGCTGTTCTTCTTCCGTGCTCGCAAGGTTCTCCTATTATCTTCACGGACGCCTGCAGGAAGTACGAGTTGGTAATTTAGTTTTTAACTGGTGTAACTTATTTGCTGGGGTCCCTAAAGGCGGTGTGCTGTGCTCTGTTCTTACAATGACATTCACAACCACATGTATACTGAACCAAAACCTTTCGCGGATACTTGAATGGTCAAAAAACTTCGGTATTTCTGTCAATCCCATCAAATGTCAGGCCATTATTATCGGTAGCTCTCGACAAATATCGCAAACTAACCTCAACACAATTCCAGCTGTTGCCTATGCTGGCTCGGTGATTCCTTATACTGCTAAAGTAAAAAATCTTGGGCTTATTGACAGTATTGTTGACCGATAATATCGGCAGTAAAATCCATCGCACCCTCGGCTCGCTTTTCTCCCTCCCTCACTTAAGAACTTTCTTCCTCCCCGTACTAAGTCTGCTCTCGTCCAAACTCTTGAACATCCCCTTTTGGACTATGCTGATGTTTGTACTTCAGATATCAATCAAACTTTTCTCAATAGATTGGATCGTTTTCTCAACAATACAATTCGTTTTGTTTTCGATCTGCGCAAATATGACCGCATCTCCAATTTTCGTCAACATCTTGAGTGGCTTGCAATTCGGAAGCGTAGGTGCTTAAGGATTGTTTGCATGCTTTTCCAGATACTTTTCGATCCACGAGCACCTGAGTATTTGAAATTGCGGTTTGAAATCCTCGGTTCCTCTCACCAGAAAAATCTTCGTTCCAGTAGTAGACTGGTACTCTAAACCCCTTCCCACCATTCTTGTTTTGTATCTCTTTCCTTCACTCTAACGGCCATCCGTCTTTGGAATGCACTACCTTCGAACGTCTGAAGTGCTCCTAACAAATTTGCATTCAAGACAGCAGCTCGCAACTTCTACCATGCTTCAAACAAGATTTCTTGATCTGACACCACATTTTGTTTCGTACTTTGTGTTATAGTTATAAATATGTATTTTTTGTATGTGTATCTATCATTGTATATATATTTAGATATAGTTCTTATGTAGGGATATCAATAGCATAATGTACATATCAACATTCGTTTGTGCTAAAATTACTGGTTGAGTGGTAGAGAATGCCTCTTTGGCATTAAGTCCGCCGTTTGTCTATTTCACTAGGCAATTAAGATCAAATAAATGAATAAACACATGGCTTCAAAATAATTAATTAACCCTAAGCATCGAAAGAACCAACTGCACATTAGCAGCTTTTCGTTCTCTCCGTTACCTCGCAGTCATTATTATTCTACTCACCGAGAGATTAGGTAAAGTTTGTGCTAAGTATAACAAACAAATTTCAATGTTACTGATCTGCTTAAAATAGAGGTAGTAAATCTAAGAATCCGAATTTTAAAAGCGCTGTATGCTGAAAGACGGGTATTACCCCAGTTCAGCAGCAAAAGTACAGTACATAATAATAATAATAATAATAATAATGATTTATTGAAAGGCATAAAAAACCCAATAAACAGTCAAATACATAATTTCCAAAAATAAAGTACAAGTAAAAATAAATAAAACTTACATAAAATAAAATAATAATTATTAAAATAAAATTCAGTAGTATTATACATTGTCAAACATTATTTTCTGTTGTCGCTCTGGTGCACCGAAATCCAGTACTTATATATAGGATTGTCCAAACCCCAACTAACGGCTCTGATTATGCTATTATCAGAAAGACAAATCCTCGTCCAAAACGAAGCTATGCGCTTTCTCACAACAGCATAAAAGTCCGCTGTACGGGCGTCCGCGAACATGCTCGACGCGCTGCTGTACCTTGAATATTTCATAAGGATACGAAACGCGTCATTGTATTGTACCCTTATGGAGCTGTAGGAAGTACGGTTAAAGTTGGACCATAACTGGCAAGTGTAAAAACATTGACAGTATGAGCCGAACAAAATTAATTTGACTTCATCACTACATTTGCCGAACTTGCGCGCGAGCATGTTACAACGAACAGATAGTGCTCTTCTCTCTCGTTCTATATCGAGATCGTCTTTTCGATTCTCTGTAAGAATATGCCCAAGATATTTGAACTGTTGTACCACCCGAAGTGCCGAACCATTTAAAAACACATCTGGTATGTTCTCCGGACCTTTCCTTGCTCTGAATACCATAACTTCTGTTTTTGCGACATTATATTTCAAACCGTGAGCATCAGCATAATGCTCACAAATCGAAAGAAGTTTACGGAGCCCCTTGATCGAGGGACTGAGGAGCACCATATCATCGGCATAGCTCAAGTTGTTAACACAAACGTTACCAACGTGACAGCCGATGGCAGCGCCCCTCAGTTCCTTGATCAAGTCATTGACATATAAATTGAAGAGATCCGGAGAAGTCAACCCTCCTTGGCGTACACCGCATTCTAGCTTGTAGTTACTAGAGGTCGCGTCGCCCCATTTTACATAATTAGTCTGGTTTCCGTACCAATGCTCGAACAAATCCACCACTTCAGCCGAGACATCTGTGCCGCGCAATTTTCTCCAGAGAATATCATAATTCATAGATCAAATGCGCGGCTCAGATCCAGAAAACATGCGTATACAGATGTTTTCCGGCGTACGTAATAGTCAACAGTATGTTTGACGGTTAAAATAGCGGAATCCGTAGAGACTCCGGGACGGAAACCAAACTGTGCATCGTCAATCTGTATGTTTTTCGACACTTCGGGCTGCAACAGTCGCTCTAAAGTTTTTCCTAAAACAGTACCTAGAGATATCGGTCGGTAGTTATTAGCTGTACTCGCATCACCCGTTTTATTTTTAATGATCGGTACTACAACTGTTTTCATCATATTTGGAGGCAGATAAGAGTATTTAAGGCAAAGATTAAACAGCCTTGTTACTTTCAAACAGAGCGCCTCGCCTGCGTGGAACAAGTGTTCGACAGTCAATTCATCATGACCCGGTGACTTACCGCGCGCCATAGTGCTAACTACATTCGCTACATCATAAGCTTAGATGTAACGAAAATCATGTATTTTGTTTTGTTGTGGTCTAATAATGTTATTATTATTATTATACATCGTTCATGTACTACAGTACGTGATGGTTCCTGGTTTGCATGGGGAAAAAATGAAGTATCTCATAACAAATTCATTTTTAAACGGAAAGCTCACACTTTTCTCTTGGAGCATTTATGAAGATCATCATCATATGTATATGTATCATAATTCATATATGTATTTATGTATTTGCATATATGTTTATGTATAGGTATAATATTTATTTATGTTTATGTAATTGTATATAAATTCTTCTGTAGTGTAGTTCAAGTAGTATATTTATAAGTTAACTTTATGCCGCCATCGTGTATTTCTATATCACAAAGGTTGACTGGTAGAGAATGCTAATAGCATTAAGTCCGCCTTTTGTACCAAATCAATGGTCATTAAAGTTTGTTAAATAAATAAAAAAAAGTGTTTATCAAATCTTACGTTTTTATTTGCTTAATAACGTACTTTGTGTGGTTTAAGCACATTCTATCATTTTTTTCTTATTTTTAAATTATTCAATGTCTATTTGACAATCCACATTTTAATTTAAATATTTTTTTTTTTTTATAAAACTTATTGTCGCTCTATTTCTCTCTTCTCGCCACTTCAGATTAATTAATGAAAATCTCTCAGTAAAATCTGAAGTGGCGGGAATAGAGAGTAAATAAGAAGTGCATCATATGCATTTTGAAGTTTGTATTGCCATTTGTCAACTGTACTTTTCTGTAAAAAAATCTTTATCATTATTAGTAAATTTTCTTTAGATCTGTTTAAGTCTTATAAGCTCAGAATATAAATTATCGATCTTAATATTTAATCTGTCTTGCAATTTGGTAATTACCAGTGCAAAATATTCAAATTTAACCTTATTTTACAAAGTCATAATAGAGAGTATTGAAAGCCATATAATTTAAGCTCATAATAAATATTTGGAGTGATGAATTAGTTTTTTTGTAATCTAATTCATAACAGTGACAACGGACAGTGAACTATGTGATAGACAGAGTATACATAATATCTAATTTAGCCAGTTTTGCTATTGAGTCACTTTTATCTAGAACTATATATCAAGTGCCATTTTGTTACAGGCTACAACTTCAGACGGTTCTACAATACTCGATCGTGCTGTGTTTGAACACAATTTACTATCAGCCAGTAAACTTTATAATAACATTACATTTGAGGAATTGGGTGCTTTGTTAGAGACACCGCCCGCGAAGGCAGAAAGGATTGCCAGTCACATGATCAGTGAAGGTAGAATGAATGGCTATATAGATCAGATTAGTTCCGTCGTACATTTTGAAAGTAAGTATACATTCATGTTACTAGTCTATGTGACAAAACCGTAGTCAGATAAGTAAAGACATGACTGGGTGGACATAATTTACTTGTTATATACATATATAATATATATTTATGGATTTATATAAATCCATAAATAAATAATATGTTTAGTTTATAAATAATATGTTCAGATTTTGACGAATTCTGACTCTTCTTTAGAGATACTCTATTGATGAGAAACATAATGCTATGATTATGCCCACGAAGGCACGTGAGCTGACGTCGCTTGATTGTCGTTTAGGAAATAATATGTCATCTCCAAAAAGTGTAGTTAAATAAAAGAAAAACGTATTTTTAGTCATTAATTTAAATTGTCCCATGAAAACAATCCGTTTGACTTGACAATTCGAGCTAAATGTCACATTACAATAAAAAAAAGTAGTTCCTCGCAATAAAAGACGATGACGTAGTTTATTGAAATGTGGCGACACACGATGCTCCGTCCTGACCCGCCTTTCGGATCTTGTAATCCACAAATTATAAATAGCAAGTTAATTTTGTAAAAAATATACTTAAGATTTATTTTAAAACAAAAATATACTACTTACATAGTTAATGTTTACGTATATGTTATAATTTATAACATATTTTTTAATTTATTGATATTATAACTGGGTCATATAGCGAATTAAATAAGGCCTACTTCAAAAGGTAATAAAGGTTATACTTAATTGAACCTCTTATTGTTATGTATGACAGCGCTGCAGTCAAAGCTGTATTGTTACATAATAGTTAATGAAATTCCTTTTCTTATTTCCAGCTCGAGAAATTCTGCCACAGTGGGACAAGCAAATCCAGAGTCTGTGTTATCAAGTAAATAGTTTGATAGAAAAAATTGCTGCAGCTGAACCAGAATGGATGGCCAAACTCATGGAAGAAGAAATGATCCAATAATTCTAAATAATTATAAGTGGTTTATTGTAACAGCAAGTCAGGCTATACAAAACTGTGAAACTCTACTTGATTTTAAGCCTTAATACTGGTAGAGTTCAAAATCAATTGAGGAAATTTGACATATTGTGGTAGCCTGACGTGCAGCCGTAAGTACCCTAAATAAATTCATTTTACTCTATGTCATGTTCTTTCATTACTCAAATTACGCTGTATGTCAGTTTCTTAGCGTGTCACCCATATATTACGGAATCGCATACGAGGGTCAAACTGAAAGTTCTTAGAAAATCAAAAACTGATTACATTAGCCAGTTATTAGTTTTATTATATCTTTTCAAAATATTGTCCATTCACGTCAATACACCGCTGCATGCGATGGAACCACTGGGAAAAGCACTTTGCCCACTCGTCCTTAGGGGTCTCTTCAATGGCATCGCGATACGCAGCCACCGCTTCTTCAGCATTCATAAACCGCTTTCCTTTAAGTTTTTCTTTAATTTTTGGAAATAAATAAAAATCACAAGGCGCGAGGTCGGGGCTATACGGCGGGTGACCCAGTAATTCAACGTTTGATGTCGCCAAATAGTCGATCGTTCGCTTGGCGGTGTGCGACGAGGCGTTGTCGTGGTGAAGGAGGATCCTACTGCGAGGTCGTTTCTCTCGAACTTTTTCCAAGACAAGTGGCAAACAATTGGTAGTGTACCATTCTGCAGAAACTGTTTTTTGATCCTCTAACACAATTGTTGCAAAATGACCTATCCTTCCAAAGAACGAGGCCACCATTTTTTTTCCCGCACTTCGATCTCTCTTCACTTTAGTTGGCAACTCCTCGAAAGGAAACACCCACTGAGCAGATTGTCTTTTGGTTTTAGGATCATAACAGTAAATCCAGCTTTCGTCACCTGTTAGTATGTCGAACACAGCATTTGAGTCACCTCCATTAAATCTTTCAATCATTTTACGACACCAATCCACACGATGGAGTTTTTGAGCCTCAGTCAAATTATGAGGTATCCACCGGGCGCAAAGCTTCCTGACCGCTAAATGTTCGTGGAGGATTTTGTGCACTTGACTCATACCGATGCCTAAGCTTGTCCGAATCTGTTGATAGGTCACTCTTTTGTCAGTCTCTATCATACGCCGCACAACACAGATGTTATCTTCAGTCGTCGCCGTAGAAGGCCGTCCCTCACGTAAATCATCAGTGAGATTAGTGCGACCACGTTTAAACTCATTAAACCAGTTGTAAACAGTCGCACGAGATGGGGCTTCATCGTGAAAGGCCAATCGTAGTCTATCATAACTTTCTTGTTGACTTATATGACATCGAAAGTCATAAAAAATCATTGCACGAAAATTTTCTCGTGTTAAATTCATGATGACGTGACACAGACAATTTTCAATTTGCCGCCAAATCGTAAAACAAATGACAAATGAATGAAATATATACTCAGTAATATTGGCAAAGAGTTATATTTTCAAATTTTAGAATTATTTTTTTATTATATTGTTTATAAGTGGCCAGTTCTAAGAACTTTCAGTTTGACCCTCGTATAAATGAAAATGTATTTCACCAATGATGGCTTGCTTGAAACAACATGCGTTATGCGGCGCCGCACATAAGGTGTGGCAGTTGCTTAATATAATAGCAGATCACAAATGTTTCAAGGGATAAAAAACGATTTTATTATTTGGAATTAAACTATCTAGATTCGTAAGATTGGGCGTTTCATAGTAATGCTATACCTTACTGAAAACGGATGTGTAATATAACGACAGTAGCCAGTTCTCTATTATTTTGTTTTCCGCCATTTTAGGAATTCATTCCACTTCCTGATACCCTAGATTTAAAACATGATAACTCGTTTTTTTTTTAATTCTCTAGATTTATGCTCTTTTTAAATACTACCTAAATACAAAACAGTACCATATCACAAAACGTATAAGTTTGATATTCACCTCTTTCTCTTTTAAATACCGTATGGTAAAAAGATAAAACGAATATCATATCCGACATCAAGTTATAAACGCTCGAATCTGGCAAAACTTTAGTTTCATAGCAATAAGTATATTTAAGAGTCTAGCCAAGTAGCCAAAACACGGTATTCGCTCCTTCCCTTTCTAATGTAAGCAAAGGTCCGTGGAGCAAGAGATGAAGCGTATATTGTATCCACATTGCTAGTTTTGATATATCGAATAGTAGTGAATAACCATTCCTTGACATAGATATCTGAAAACAGTTTTCAATATCAATTTCAAAATTTGATATCAATTATGTTACGGCTATGAGGTAATAGTAAAAATGGCCCATATCTATTTTTTGACGCTGTACAGAGGACACACAAAACCATATCAAAGAGCAATAGAAAAAATTTAATGTTCAAAAATATTTTATTAAACATTTTGATGAAATTAAAAATATAATATTATAAAGACAAACAAATACATAATCAAATGTAAATAAATACCACTCTACAAACATTGATCAACATGGCGGACGTGGATGTTAAGGAAAAGGATTTTTGGACAAACATTGTGGTTCAGTTTAATGAAACGAAAATAATGATTGTAACATACTATTATTTTATTTCAATTAATGTAACACCACGGGTGTTTATTTACAAATGATATTAATGTTTGACGTCTAATAGGAATATAATTTATAAATCAGCAAAATATTATTTTGTGAAACATGCCGTGTTCTGCAATGATACAATTTGTTTCCGGTAAACTTCGGAAGGAAGCTCGTCCGCCATTTTTGTAAACGATGCTTTACAGTGCGTGGAAGTAAAAGTGAATAACAATATTGTATTGTTGCGTTTTAAACGCTGAACTTACATATTACAATAGTAGAACGAGTATAGTTTTAAATCGTTTTGCTATATACTCTTCTCTGCTATAAATTACAACAGTGAAGTGGGTTTTTATGTAACTACGTCAATGAAGCTATAGTCTGCTTAGGGCTCAAGTTCGAGGGCGACGCCAACCTTGTGTCCTCCAGCGTTGAAGTTCTGGCCGTCAATGGCAGCAGACAATGTCAGCGTCACACCTTTAATATAAATTTGGGTTAAACTATTTGAGAATGGGTTTCTTAGAGAGAAGATAATATTAGATAACAAATGAAACTTAATAAAATTGGATAACAATTGGACGTAGTTATTCAAAAAGGATCCAACCCACAAATTGGTCGAAAATGAGTTAAGTATACCAAAATGTCCATCAGGATCTATACTTTCATATAGAAAAAAAGCTCTGAACTGTATTTAAGATGTGACGTTTTTTTTCAATAGAACTACCATCCCACATCTTTGATAAGTTCATATTTTAGTTCCATGAAAACAGCTCAAGCTTCTTGGATCCATATAGTAAAATAGCAATTTAAAGGCACTAATCTTGGTAAAAAATCACAATAAAGATTCAAAATGCTTGAAACATTTTTGTTAAAAGGTAACTTTATTAAAAGGCGTAGAAAGGTAATTTTAGATAGTATGAATACATTTGACATCAAAAATTAAAACAATAAATATAAAGAACTTTGAATAAATAGTTTTTACGATTAACTTTTGGCGTTTCAGTTAATTATCCTATTATTTCTTCATTTGGATCGTTTTTGATATTTGTTTTGTAAGAATTAGGTAATTAAAATTTAAATATATATTAAAAAGGATCCAAACATATTTTAACCTTTATATTTTAATAAATATTATTAATTCTGTTTAAATGACATTATAATAAGATAATGTAAGTGGTTTATCTAATAGCATAGAAATGCTATTAGATAAAAATATAATACACAAAAATGTTACATCAACATGCAAATACTACTTAAACTTCAATCGTCTATATCTCAAAAGTGATATTGTGTGAAATGGATCCTTTTTGATTAACTATGTCCAATTGATAGTATCTTCAATGATAAATGTTTCATTTTAAGTGTGTTATTTAAACTTGAATAAAATTATATTTAGACTTCTACTCAGTCTGTCATAATAGTGTACTAAAGCAAAGTTATAATAGCATTTTCTCTTTTAGGAGAAAGTTTTTTTTATTTCGCATCTGTCACCAACAAGCCTACAAATTAAATGTAAAATGAATTTGGATAACACCATTTTGAAAAAAGAAATTATGAAATTCAACGACCCAATAGGGGCAATGCATACATAACGTCAACTATTATCTTATTGCATAAATCATAGGAATAAAGGTTGACAAATGACGAAATAAAAAAATCGTTGATTGTATACACTGCGTGAAATAGAGTATGGCGAGATTACATAATCGATTTTAAAGCTTAACTTCAGCTATTCAAAAAGCGTTTATACGAAGAACAATTCTTTCATGCTGACTCTAAACAAGATTAATACTTATGTAATGAGGAAGTACATATTTAAATAAAATCTAGAAAACAATCTACCTACACACTATGTACTTTGAAAACTTCGTAGTGGTTAATTAAAAAAGTAGTGGATAATCAAAAAGAATATGCATTTCGGTTTTATTACGGAACCTACTATTATGCCTTTGACGATAAAGGTAACTTGCATCATTAGAGATAAATCAAAGGAAAAGGACAAATTGATAAACTCCTTTTTTTTAATTGCAATTTTAGTTGATATATGGCAATTTTTCTCTTGTATATGGCAAACCAATATAATTGATGATGTCAATGCAAAATATTTTTTCATAAAAAGGCATAAAAAATCGATTTCAATAGTTTTGGATGACTTTCACTGCTGTTGACTGTACATTGCAATCTTTTAATCAGATAAATATTGTGAACAGATAATGATTTTACACCATCTGCCACTCTAAGAGTGAATTTTTACCTGTTATAAAAAGCAATATACACACAATAGTTTGATATTGTAGAAACATGTATTTCATCCATCACATCTACTCCTCATCTCACCTCTCTGAAAACTCATTGATAGAAGATATATTTTTGAGTCATTTATCATGACCTTGCTATGCTTACAATCATTTTGTTTCTTCTTTCATGTTATAAACCCTCACTTAAAAGTGTGGTAATTTGTTGATATTATGGTTAATGCTTTGTCTGTTCTGACAGTCTCATGTGCATCAAATTAAAACAAACCACTGAGTAAATATGTGCGAACTCATTAAATGATGCTGTGTTCAACCCCTATTGTTTTTAAAAAATATGTATGAAAGGAAATCATAGCAATCTGTTACTCACCTGGACGCAACTTTTGTTGGTAGCCAAGTCCAATGAGGGATTTGTTATTGACCTTGGCGTGGAGAGAGGCATCTTGGTCCAGTGCAAACTTGGCACCTACGCCAAACAGTGTATCCGACGATCCTGATGTCCACTTCATGCTGACACCACAATCTAACTTGTCAGACACTTTCTGGTAGATAGATCCACCAAACTCCTTGCCATTGTCACTAAAATAAGATTTATCCTTTAGAAATGTACAATTAAATATTAATGTAAATGGAAAACTATATAACCAAGGTCACAGTTGTTCCTTTAAATTGGATTACATTAAAAGAAAGGTATGTACAAGCTACTCTTTCAAACTAGAGCAAAGTTACATAATCACATCTGATTAATCAATACTGCTGTATACTGTCAAGTTTATTTATCTAGACCAAGAATAATATAATAAAAATAGAGAAAATACATTTTGGGGAAATATTTAACACTTACACATTAGTGTGAAGGGCAAAGTCATTGCTTTGATAGCCAAGTGCAAAGTTATTCTTGGCAAACTTGGCCTTTTGTGAATCAAATTGGGTGTGTGCACCAGCCAACCAGCCTTGATATGAGAGGACTGCAGCTACATCAACAATAGGTCCTGCTAAGTCTAAGTCCAAGTTGGTATTAACAGCGACTGTGTCATTGGCAAAGGAGGTCTTCAGTTTGCCTGTCTTGCTCCTGAAATTGACAAATGGTTTGTTACATCTGATCATTGAATTTGCAACATTTGCATATAGAAAATTACCAATTGAATGAAATACTGAGAATATTAGAAAACATCTACAAATTGGCTATTCTCTTCTTTCTTTCTTCTTTTACCTATAGTAGTGTCTTACCCAGTTTGGGGTGCGAAAGTTCCTTCAAGGGTAACTTTAAGGCCAGCTGCAATTTTATCTTGGATAGTGATATCAGTGGCGAGAGTGTTGTCTGTATTCCATTTCTCTGTGAATGTAAGACCATAGTCCTTCACAGCATACTTGGATGAAAGGCTGCCAAACACCTGATATAAGAGTTCTTTATATTAGCATAATTCTCTAAGATACTTAGACATATTGAGATACTATACTTTTGTCTGAAGCTGGTGGATTTTTTAAGCATTTATCATTAGATAAAAAAACAGAGAGAGAACACTGAAATTTGCTTTAAATCATTAAGCAAAATAAATTTTGATATATAATATTTTTTTCCATTACCTTTCCACTTTCTTGATTTGAAATAATCCCACTGGTAAACTCAACACCAGCTTCGCTTTTGGTTTTCAAGTCAAGTTTGAAAACACCAAAATGATAACCCTTGCTGAAAACATCATTGGCTTTCTTGCTAAGATCAGCATAGTATGGAGGGGCCATTGCCTAAAAAGATTATGATTATTAAAAATGAAACTATAGATCCTTTCCATGTGAAAAGGGGATAGCTTCTGCAGTATACTATTTTATTGTCATTGTATGTACTTTGATTTTGATTGTAAAACAACAGAAATTTTATCATATTTGATCAATTTTACATTCACAATGCTATACTGAAAAATATTCTTAATTTACAAATATGAGTTTGTTATAAACATTATCTATGTGTGAAATAAATAGGCAAGTCAACAGACTGAGCCAGGTATGTCAGGGTCAAAATCGAATTCATGATAGTTAACATTATTAAATATTTACATGCAATATTCTGCAAAGTATTACATAACATGTAGATGATTCAATGTTAGTGCGAATATTTAAAATAAGTAATGTAATACTTTTTAAAGTACATGTTCATAGACTCTAATATAAGCAGGTTCTTGACCTTTGGCAAAAAGAACCTTCCAATCGTGAAGATAGGATAGGATCACATGCGGCAGATACTTATCCGAAGTGACGTTTCAAATCGAACGATATCCACCGTAACCCTTATAGCTTATGGAAATGCTTGTTATTTGAGGATATCTGCATAAAGATTTCCTTAATGTAAGCATATAAATTGAGCTACGTCCATTAAATTTACTACACTATGAGCTTGAACATTTGGATAACCTAAGTAGAATATACATGACATATAAAAAAGACATACAATGGTTTATTACAATAAAACAAGGTATTTACTTACAGTTAAATCAGATTATTCACAAATAGAACTTAAAGAAATTGTAATATCAGGCAATAAAATTGCCAAGCAGAACTCCGCACCACACCACAAGACAATTCTGGCTTACACTAGTTGTCGTAAGAGGGCGTGATGACGTCGTAAAAAAGACGTATCCCGGAAAACGTCATATTGATTGATAATTATTTTTGCTAAGAAAGATAATCAAATTTTGAGAACTCATTCAATTTTATTTTTAAATTATTCTCTTTTTTTTTCATTTTCTTCTTATAATTATTTATAAAAGATATAATAAAAAAATGCTAAATGACATTTGCATTCGAAGGTGATCATTATTATGGCGGCCCCAAACGATCGTATATCAGTTGAATACACTAAAGGTGGGCATTCACGAGCGCGCTATTCGGCGTGGGTCGTGACAGACCATTCTGATTGTTCGACATGATCTGTCATGGAGTTGATAAAAATGGGATCATTTAAAAGTTTGCCTGAGTTGTGGACAATGCAAAATTCCTATCTTAGTTTTTTTGGTACTCAATTTCGGAAAGTTTTGAGAATATACTTAAAATATTTCCATGTAGTGATGATACTGTGGATAGGACATCCACAGTATCATCACTATTTCGAAATGTTAGATAGGAGGTACTGGGTTGGGGCTGAGGTACTGATATATATTTCAGTAAAAGCAGGAATCAGTCTAATTGCAGATTGAGCGTTAGGATATACTCACTTAAAACACATATATAACAGTCTTCATGGTGATTGTATAGTTCATGCCAAATCATAGGACTTGAGCACTTAAACTAGGGTCTATTTTGTTTGCCTATAACCGTAAGGATGAATTGTAGCTTCTACATACAAAATAATCATGTCTACTTTCCATACATTTATTGATCTGTCACGTGTTTTTTAACGGTCACGTCTACCCACTATTAGTGATAATTTAAGTTAGTTTTTGCTTAAAATAGAATATTATAGGGATGTGGGGTCCTTACTGTGGTGATGAAGACAACGGACCAGGGAGACTAAAGGATAATTGTCTCCCTCCGATCTAGGTGTAGTTAACCCGGGGGCCGCGGTCCAACCGATGTAGGTTGGACGTTATGCTAACTCAGCGACACAAGCTCTTGGATCGACGAACTACCAACCGTGTTACTTGGACTAAGAGCCGCTCTACGGAGCGACACCGGCGTCAGCGCAGCCGAGTTAACTTATGGCTATAACCAGTGCCGGTTTTAGCACTACTAGCGCCCTGGGCGAAATTTCTTCGGCGCCCTCTAACTGCAATTCAATTACAATCAGTTACTACTACTTTAATTTTTAATAAATCAGTTACTTGTCTTTTTTCGCCGACCCGGCCTACTTACTTGTAATTTTCCCTAAATTTAGGTAGATTGTTAAGTTGGCAGCATTAGAATGGAACATAGTGTTCAATCGGTTTAATTTCTCGGGAATCCCCGACTTTCCCACCATAAAAAAACAATGTGTTTTTCTATAATCGGGGATTCCCTAGATCTATCTCTTTTAATTTTTAACGAAGAAGAACACAATCAACAATTATCTTCTTGCTTGACATAAGTGGACGCTCTTAAAACAATTATTCGATTATTTAAAAACAAACAAACACAGTACTCTTATAATCAAACGTTTAACGCTACATTATGATGCTCTTGTTCCAACTATATAGTGACATTAGTTTTATTTAAAAAGTAGACATATAAATTGTGTATAAGTAGCCGATTCATTTTTGACGGGTCACATTATTAGGTAGTACAGATTCATTTTTACCCTAACAGGGTGTCACATAATTGTTATCTATAACTTTGTGTAATTGTTGTAACTTTGTGACAGTAAGTTTGCAGTGGGCCATTACTTATTATATGATCAATTATTTTGCTACTTCAAATAAGTGGACAAGTAGCTGGATCCGCTATATTCGGGACAACAGTATCAACATCCTCTAGTACATGTATTTGTTGTACATCAATAACAGATTTATCCTGAGCAGCATCTGTAATCATAGCACAACTTGCTCCCTTACTTCGGGATTTTTCATCCACAATCTCTTGAGTAGCTATTCCATCTAACTTGCTAGACAGAGGCTCCACTGCCGATGCATTCGTTTGTATTACAGCATTTTAGCTTCAGCTTAACGTTTAAACATGCTCAAACGAAAATTTTCTTAAATGACTGAACGATAATGCCCGCCAATGTACATACGTCATATTACCTTATAAAATACATATCTTCATATTGGTAATCGGTATGTTGTTCTGTTTTCCCATAATATAATAATTTTCTTGTTAAGTTTCCTTTCAATTCATGCTGAAAGTGAGGCAACTTGAAAATAAAAAAAAAATCCTCAAGGTTCTTGTTCTTTTTTCGCCGACCCAGTAGGCCTTGTTCAATGAGCAAGGGAACTATAAGAGGGCGTCTGTGGGAAATGAGGGAGTATTAGAAAAAAAAACATTAGTTCCCGAAATCAAACCAGATTTCGCTACGGTATGTTCTTGATTTCTCCATGACAACCCTTCCAGTTTTCTTTCATGTTTAAAAGTAAATTAGTTTTCAAAACTCAATTAACAACTCATATTCTATTTGTACTTTTTCGTATTTGTATTGATAGTAAGTTTCGAACTTTTCAAATTTCAGTTTTTTAATATGTTAGTTAACGGAAATGACTGTCTTTGTTCCATTCGTTTCCTGCAAAAATCAACTTTTGCTAGAGTTGCCATCTAGGTGGAGGTATTTTTTTTCCAACACCAAGGTCCATCACAGCGGCATCAACAGCGCTTCCTGAATTCTTGGTACCACTTGACGGCATCATCCCGACCTGGTCCTCGCAGCCCACGACCGGACCTCAGTTCACACACAACTCACCGGCGTGGCAGCCCTGCACACCAGCAGCTTCGGTCCCGACGTCACAACCATGGCACTTGCAAGCTCTGAAGCACTGACTGCATACCACCTACTATCAACATGGATCGACCTTCGGTCTAGGGGGAAAGTACTGTGGCGACTGATACATAGCGACATCTATTACATCGCAGTAACATCGCCACAACAATCGATAGTGAGAAGACTAGCATCGTCACAGCCATCGATAGCAAGACGAACTGCAATAAGTTTCAACAGCAAGTAACGAGATGGCGCTGTACCAATACAAGCAGCATAAATTAATAACTACAAGACATTTAGAACAAAGAAACCTACATCGCACAGAATAAGTTTCATTACCAATTAACATAAATAGAACGTCCAACCTACATCGGTTGGACCGCGGTCCCCGGGCTAACAACACCTAGCTCGGAGGGAGACAATTATCCTTTAGTCTCCCTGGCCAGTTGTCTCCATCACCACAATAGGGACCCCAACCTCCAACCTTACGGTCCTAAAGAGTCTTCGATGTCGTGTCGTTTAAGGATCACGTCAATTGAAGATCACGTCTGTTGAAGATCACGTCGGTTGAAGATCACGTCGGGTGAAGATCACGTCGGTTGAAGATCACGTCGGTTGAAGATCACGTCGGGTGAAGATCACGTCGGTTGAAGATCACGTCGGGGTCACCACTTTGGCAACTCTGATCGGGTCGTAGGCTTGCTTGTCGTCGGGTAGTAAAACTCCGTAGAAGGTGGAAGGATGGAATGTTTTATTTACAAATCTTACAGCTATTTATACTAAAACGTAATATAATATTAACCAATTAAAATTATAAATACAAACTTAACCAATGAGAAATGTACATTTTAAACCAATTACAAGAAAGCTACAATATTTACAATGGAAGGGGAAAGTGACGAGAGGAAAGGGAAAGGGACTGAGACGCGGGACGAGGGATCGCGTGACGTGGCGTATAAAGGCTGGCATAGAGTTAACGAGATCCTTTTTGCCAGGCGTCGGATGAGCGTGCGGGTGACTGCGTTGCGGAAGGTTGACATGTGGCGCGCAGCTGTTGACACGCACTTGTTGCGTTGCTTTCTCCTTTGTTTCATACGGACAGTGACGTTGAAATAGTTCTTTTAAGAGCTCCTTATTTCATTGGCGGATATACAAATAAATTTTCCATTAACTGATGTAGTCTTATTACTGTCTTACTGGTGGTGTAGCCACAAACTTGTCAATTTTGCGCAACTTTTGTTTACTTTCTTCTCTTTCTTGGCGTTGTTTACGTTTAATGCACCACTGGGTTTCTTTATTTTGTCCATAATAATAGTTTTCTAATTTATTTATGCAATATTTATGTAAAATTGTACTCAAGTAGGTACTAACTGTTCACTAACACCGTTACAAGTAAAAGGAAAGCGAAACGTAATGATACGATACAAGACGTCGTTGGGGAATCCCCGGCAAACATTTTATCGCCGTCAGTGATACCACATTTGACGGTTTAAAAAATATCAAAAAAACATCACATAATTAATGAACGGCCCCTTAATGCATGTGACTTGTTTTTCACGGTATTTTGAGTTAAATAGTGAATAGCCGAAATCTTTAGATTTCTCTATGTAACTATGTATACGTACTATAATCAAATAAAATTGAACTTTTGTATGGACCAGTATAAAATTTTATTGGCATACGCTTACTTACTTTTGACACATTAACTTTTTAACCATTCTCGAAAAAAAATCTTCACTCGAAGTTCACAATCGCGAATCACAAAAACGCATATCGATAAATAATAATATGCAGATATTGATATCCGACAAATTGATGAAAACATTAATAACACTGTCAACCCACACAAATAATTTAGGGGAATTCCATGTTTATTTTGGAATTTCTCACAACTGAGTTGCCATGATTAAACTCGAGTTGTCACCTGTCATATTTATTTTGAAAATGGGAGAAATTTTCAAGAGTTGAGTTCGATTGAGATTTTCTGGTAAAGATTCTAGGGCCCCCTGAGCTTGAGGGCCCCGGGGCACTGCCCCGCCTAGCCCCTTGGTAGTTACGCCACTGCCAAAATCCTTTGGCTTTAGATGAGACGGAATTGATCGAACGTTTTTATCATCATCATCATCATCATCAGCCCATAATCGTCCACTGCTGGACATAGGCCTCCCCAATTGCACGCCATCTACTTCGATTCTCGGCTGTTC